ATACTGTCATCTAGAAATTAGAAATTAAATTATTCACTTTTTTTTAACACGAATCGTGCAGACAAACAAAGTGAATAATTTAATTTCTAATTTCTAGATGACAGTATAGATAACATAATTTCAGTGTAAATGGCCAGTTTCAACGGATGAATACAGTTCGAACAGATATACTCGGAGACGTGCGCCGTGCATATTTTCGCAAGAACGAATACAAAAGAGAATATTATTTTAAGAGAATATAAAAATGATTACCCAGTTGTTCTCACGCGAGATTCGATTACAGACAACACGTTGAACATTGATATCCTCTCGTCGGATTTAAGCCGCCGTAAAATTCAAAAAATTGAACGCCACCTTATTACAATCTACGCTCTTAACGCAATTTATTGCCATTGACGGTTGTTCGTTTGCTCGATAAAAGCGGAATAATGAATGTTGCCAGTGCAACGTAAAAAAATGCTCGGCTTAGTCGCGATATGCATGTGTTTACACTTTCAGTGACAAATTCAGCGCCGTTTTTTCTCTTTGTTTTCTTTTTTTTTCTCCTAAACGGGCGTCGTTATTACAAATAAATGCATAGAATTTGGTTCGAATTCGTTTCCCTTGTCGTTCAATGCGCGACGATTCTTTGCGAATCGCGCAAACTTATTCAACGGAAGTCGCATCGTCGTTTCGTAGCCGGTGTGAGTGTAATTGCATCGAGATTACGTTATTGTCAGTGACAATTCTGACTGCAATTCGTACCCTAGAAAACAGATTCAAGTAACAAATAGTTTGTCGTTCTCGAAACAACAATGTTTATCTGTAAATGCTCCAACTGTTTCAAATGAAAAATCAATAAACGAAGGATCGTGTAACATCGGTTCTATCATTTGAACAAACATTATTTACAATATGAAAATTCTATGGCGAGTAAATAAATAGAAATAAACATCGGTTCTATTTAAACAAATATCGTCTGTAATATAAAAATTCTACTGCGAATAAAAAACAAGTAAAACGATCGCCTAACATTTGGTTTCATTTGGTGTGAATAAATAGCAATTGTAAACTATCTAGAATCTAGACTGACGGCGTCTTTTCTCCCCCCTTCGTATCTTCGTCTTTTCTCCTTTCTCTCCTTTCTCTCCTTTTCGATTGATAGTCGAACCTAATTTGTCCCTAATACGGAATCGATTCGAGAAACAGTATAAAAGTCACATTTTAATTCTCCAAACGTTCCAAAACAATCTAACGAAATCCTCCCAGGCATTCATTGTCAAAGCTATTATTAGATATTTTCCTTCCTCTCTTTCCTTTCCCTTTTAATTATTGTGATACTCTCTCGAGCTTTCCAATATTTTTCTAGTTTCCCAATTGAATAACCAAAAGGCATCGTTCTTTTGATAAAAATTTCTCTGTGAGCTTCGAAATGATAAGTTGTAGTAAAATATTTTTGAAGAGTTGAAACAAATGAAGCAAAAGTGATAAGATATACGCAGAAATCTGATAACTTTGCTGCTATCAGAAAGGATTAAATAACGAAAAAAGAAAAAAAAGGTTTCGAGAGGTGGAAGATTAAAATTTTGTTAATGAAAAATTTTCTTAGAAAAGAATGCAGACGAACGAGAGAAGCGCAGACCGAAAGATCTTTCCAACGATTTCAGTCGCAATAACCATCGACAATTCAGCCTATATTCTTCTGTGTAGCACCCTAAATCACTCGAACATGACTAGCATCGTGATCGTACGAAACGGAAAAAGAAACAGGAACACGATTGACTCAGCTGTGAAACAGTGGAGTGCTCGGAAGAAAATTAAAAAAGTTTAATTTAAAAAAAAAACGCGAGTCTTTCATTTGTCTTTATAAAAAAGATAAATGGAATTGATCTCATGTTCATATTAAAGAAAGAATATTCAGTTGCTTAATTCTTCCATTAAACGTGACGCTATCTCTATTACATTGATAAAATTGATACGATTGTAATTTTAAATGAAATGAGATGGTCTTTACCACCATTTCATTAAAATTCTCATCTTCGAATAATCAAATTATTAATAACGTTCAACAGATATCATACTGATCGTGACCGTGTCTGTGGACTAGATTTAAATTTTACATATTTTACACGAGAAATAATCTTCATCGTCGAATTAGGAAAAGAATGCTCCAGAAGATTATGCGACTTAGCTTGAACTGTTATGCATGAAGTATCGTCGTCATTTGGTTATCTAAATTAAGTCGTCTGTATAAAGAATCATCATCGTTTAATCACAGAGTGCACAATCGAAAGATGCGCGATTTCGAACAAACGAAACGAACAAAAATACTCACAAGTCAACTCGACTGAAACCGTACAGCAGCACTCCACTTTCCCTCGAATCTAGTTACACATAGAACATAATCACGTGCTCGATAGAACGACAATGAGGAATTGAAAACAAAATGCTCAATTGAATGTACTCAGTTGGTCGTACAAACTGCGCGCACATATACCCCGATCGACGAATCAATTTCACGCTAACGCCGATATAACATTATGTACAAATTTATTAAAACAATGACTAGCAGGTCGGCACGTCGCTCGTACCCCGTCGATATCTCGCTATCGACCTCGCCAAAACGAATCCTCTTCTCGCCTCGTAGATCCTCGATCATACCTAGTCCTCTCACATTCGCGTTGTACAGATCTCAACTAACTAACTTAGCTATAATAGAGACAGTAAGTATTAGTCGTTCGAGGGTACCTTTACTTCTTCCTCTGACAGTAAAATTTCAATTTTTGAGAGTGACTCGCGCTTCAATTTCAAATCGAAGAATTAATAATTACATTGAGACAAGTTCTGAGTCTCGTTCTTACGCATTTTTTTTTTTTTTTTTTTTGGGTTTTTTTTAACTTTTTCGCATTTACGATCATTGATGCAATTAACATTGTTAATATTGACGCAACGAGGGTCTATGTAGAATTTAGGGAGATTGGTTCTTTTTATCTACGAAAATGATTGAGATCAAGAGAGCTGAGTTATCTCTATTTCTACGTTCTCTAAAAAGCACCAAATTATAAATTTCTTGGAACTTATCCTCTAGAAATCCCCCGTGCTATATAAATTTTCAGAAATCTCCTTTGTGACTTGGTAAAATGAAGTGCCCTCCTGCCGAGGAAATAAAATAAAAGTAAAATTGCAAGAATGTCGCCTGCAAAGCTACCATCTGTAATCGAAAATGTCCCTTCTTAAGAATCAGGAAAAGGCAAACGCAAAGATCAATCTGAATCTAAGATTGGTCCTCTTTCTTGAAAATTAATAAACAAGAGCAAACGCAAATGTCACTTGCTAATCCTGACTTTATTACAGCTATTTGAAATTAACCTTTACTAAAGCCTCGCAGTTCTACGACAGATAATAGAACACCTACAGATTGATAAACTCGACCAACCAACGCTTATTGCCTCCACGATAGTCTGACAGTCAAACAGAGGGAAAACACGTTTAAAACGATACGCGATAACAGCCCATTTCAAGGATTACGCTGTTACGTACATATTTTTTTTTTTCTTTTCTTTTCTTTGGACAGAGAAAGTAAACGCACCTCCTCGAGAAATCACCCCGCCACCACTTCCGTGAGCTGGCAACTGACGCGCGAGACCTCGTCGAAACGTCCAGCAAGGTAGAACACGTCTCCAACGACCCATCAATCGAAGAAATCGTCGTCGCCGAACGGATCGTTCTCCCTGACGAATATATTCACCGATTCCGACTTCCTGATGTGCTGGTCGTTCCTCGACTTGTTGTTGTTGTTGTTGTTGTTGTTGTTACTACCGGCGGAGTACTTGCCCTGTCGAGCGTGATTCTTCAATGGCAAGGTGGTCGCTCTGTGATCGGGGACGTTGTCCTCCATTTCCGGCTTGAAAGCGAACGCGTCGTCGTCGTATCTCAGGTGCCCGTTGAAGAATGAGTCGCGGCTGCTGTCGCCCGACACGAAATCGTCGGTCGTCTGATGAGCGTTCTTGGAATCGCAGGGAAGTTCCTCGGGCGTGGCCTTCTGGTCGGAGGGAAGCCTCTGTCTGTCGGACGAGTCGCTGATCCCGGTAGCTGTGAACGACAGATCGTCCTCGAAGTAGCTGGATCTCTTGCTGCTGTATACCTCTTCCACTGGCATCGCTCCCCTCCTCCCGGGAGCTTTCGCGTATCTCGTGGCGAAAGACGAGGGACTCTGGGGAGATGGTTTCTGCTCGCTGCTCGCTTCCGAACGTACACGTGGCTCCGCCGTGGTGAGAGACTCAGCGGCCGAGGGGTCCGCGTGCTCCACGCTCTGGGCGAAATCGTCCTCGAACGGGCTCTGGGTTTTCGCCGGGTGAGCCTGGCGAAGTTTGTGCCTCGGTATTCTCTTTCGATGGAGATTCTCGCTCTTGGTGTCCGGCTCCTCGGACCAGTAAGGCCTGTCAACCCAACTGTCGTACTCTTGGTCGCTGCCCCAGTAACTTTGCCGACTTCTGGAACGTTGCGACGACCGTAGATAGGGGTCCGAGTCGTTGTCGTTGCACTCGGACCTGGAGGTGCCGAATTTCCCTCGTGACTCGGGGTAGACCATGTCTACGTTGCGTCCCTCATTCGCGCTGTTCGGCCTCTTCGGCCAGTGCCGCTTTCTCGCTGACTGGTTGTATCTCGGGGAGTCGTCCGTCGGTCTGTCGGAGCCGTAGTCTTCGTTCCAGGCCGAGGGATAATCGTGCGGCCGTTCCCTGTAATAGTAATAGCTTTCTCTGCTAGGATAGTCGGAGTCTGGCGGACCGGTTGGCCTCCTGTTCCAAAATCTCGCGTCCTCCTCCCATCGTCTTCTCTCGTACTTCCTCCTCGACCACCTGTCGTCGTCGTCGTATCCCATGCTCTCTTGGCTACCGAACCTGTCCTCCTTCCACAGCATCATTTTCCTTCTTCTCTCGTCGTCGTAGAACGGCCCGTGCTCGTGCGGCCAGTTCCAACGTTGGGGCTTCGATCTGCACTTCCTGTGAAGCTCGTAGTGCTCCTCCTCGTCCTTGTACTGCATCTTTCTGTGAGGATAATGCTTGGACTCTTTCTCCCACTGGCTCTCGTCGTGCCACGGCGAGGAGTCGCGCGGCCTGTGACCCGAGTTCTTGATCCACGCGGCGTCGCGCGACTTTTCCATCGTTCTATCTCGGAAGCCCCAGTCTCGTTTGTTCCCTGAACCGCTTGTCTCCTCGTAGAAACCCCTCTCCGAGCCGAAAGGAACGTCGAATCTCGGATAGTGGCTACACCTGAACCTGCCATCTCGTATCCTTCCGTTGCTCTCCTCGCTCTCCTCCTCGTCTTTCCACTCGTTGTCACTGTCGCCTGACTGTTGGTAAACGCTTCCTTTGAACGAAGCCTCTCTGTGGAACTCCTTGCCATCGGGCGACCACGGTGACGTTCGACTGATCGGAGGGGGACACTCGGACAGGGGTCTGTCCGAGACGAAGAGGCCTGTGTCGAACTTGGTCCAGTTGCTGTCGTCTTTGCTCTCGTCCCTCTCTGGCTTCAGCTCCGTGAACGGCGAGAAGATGTCCTCGGGGATCAGGGACTTGGTCTTTGCCGCGTGTCCGCTGTTGCTCAACATTTTGATCTCCTCGAAAATGTCCATTCCCATCGAGCTCGAGTCTTCCTCCTTCTTTGCCTGTTTCTTGGGACTCGAGGGCGGAGGCGTGTCGGAAAATAGATTCAGCAACTCCACCTCGGCCGAAGTCTTTTGCTGCGTCGGTAGCTGAATCACCGGTGACATTCTCGTGGAATTCGGCGTGTCATCCTCCGGTTGTTTCACCGGCGGTTCCGGTTCGCCTATGATCTCGCGCAGTGCCGCGTATTTGTCGCTGGACGTGGACACGGAAGACTTCACCTCGGCTTTGTTCACTTCGATCAGCGACCCATTCGTCTCCTCCGTGCTCGTCTCCTTGGCTTCTGGCTTGTCGGAGTCGTCATTGATCTCGCTGAGTTTCTCAGCAGCCACCTCCGGTTCCTCCTCCGTTCTCTTCTCCTCGACGTCGGCTGCAGCTTTCGTTTTCTCGGAGTCTTCCTCTCCTTGTTTCGTCAACAGATCCGTCAACGCTTCCGCCTCTGCCACCAGTTCTGTCTTACTTTCCGCTTCCGTCGGTTGGATCTTCTCAAACGTCAGACTCGACGGCGGTTCGGTCGTTTCCTCGAACTTTGTTTCAGTTTGCTCCTCCTTGGTCAGATCTTCGTTACTAGGCGGCAGTTTCACCGTCAGGTTCACCAGAGTAGCCAAACTTTCCGATCTCGGCTCCTCGATAGTTTCCTGCTGTTGCTGAGTTTCGGCTGTTTCAAGTTCCTCCTTCGTCACTGAAAACGTTTCTTCCTCCATGGTGTCTTTCGCGGCGTTCTCGTCGTTCTTCTCCATCTGCTCCAGCTCCAGCAGCTCTCTGAAAACAGCGTACTTGTCGTACGTAGCTTCCTGCTTGGTCTCCTGCTCGACGTTCATCTTCGCGAATGGCTGTTGTTGCTCGAAAGCTTTCGACTGCGCCATGCTAGACACGTGCGATTGCGATTGCGCGACACCGGCCTTCTCTTGCTTCGTAAAGACGGGTTCTTCGTTATCGTTGGCGGCTGCTTCCTTCGCCGAGAGAGTGGCCAAACACTCGGTCAACTGCTGAAGAGTCAGACTGGTCAGCTCTTTCACTGTCATCCCTAGACTGTTCGCCAATTCGTCCAAGTTAGTGGATGTTAACTGGCTCAGGGTGATGTCCAACGAGGGTTTCGTCTTCTTGGGTCCGATTGGGGTGCTGCTGGTGTCGGTGAAAAACGCGCTCGGTATCATGGAGCTGAACGAGTCCTCGAACGCTGACGTGGCCATCGCGCTTATCAGGTCCGACTTGCCAGACAGCTGAACAGGCGAGCTGAAACTGTCATCCGATTGGCTCCTTCCGTCCCTTAACGGGCTCATGCTTCTGTCTTTCGTCGTCGCCACGGGCTCTCTTTCCGGGAAATCGTAGTGAAAGTAGGTGTCCGTATGCGGTGGCCTTGGAGGAGGCTTCGCCACACCCCTGACTCCTTGCTTCTTCGGTGGCAGAGGCGGTGGATTGATCAAGATGTTGGCTACTCCCCGTGGGGGAGGTTCAGGTACGAGTTCCAGTTCCGCGGAGGAACTGGACAGTCTGGAGTTGGCGTCGGAGGGGCAAGACTTTAGCGGGGACGCTGGTGAGTCGCTGGCTGCCGAGAAGTCCACTGGAAACGGTTTGTCCATGGACGACACTTTGCCACCAGTTACGTCGATGTCGAATTCCTTCTTGCGTGTGGATTTTATGGGACTGGGAAGTTTCACCAGGCCGTGCATAGATTCCGTGGAGTCCTTGTCCATTCTGCTAAGCATAGAAACGCCGGCAGATGTGGGAATCGAGATTGCCGAGGATTTCGAGGTAGGGGAGTCTTCAGGTGGCAGAGACACGGAAAGAGGCTGATGATGAGTAGATCTTCTGGACGAGTCGGAGCGCGTGAACACCGATTGAATCGCCTCGTTCTCGTCGAATCGGTCGAAGTTCGCGAAATTCGTGTCCTCGAACTGATTCTCTTTCGGGGCTATGTCGTTTCGCGGTTTCGCCGACTCTAGTGGCTCCGAGAGGACGTTAAAGTTCGTTGGGAACGTGTCTGCCGAGCTGGTGGACACCAGGTCTTTCAGAACTTTCTTGGGAGGGTTCTTCAGATGTTGGAAGAAATCCTTCTTGTCCACGTAGGGTTTTATCAAGCCGGTTCCGAGCGGGTCCAGCTCCGTGAACACGTCGATTTGCGGGCTCTTGGCTTGGGTCTGTGAAAATTATTAGGTAAATTAAATAGGAATTATCTAGCAGTCTAGACAATTCAAATTGAGCATTATCATAAATTATTTTTGTTTTCGCAATTATTGAAAAGATATGGACTCTTTAGTTGCAAATTCAAGGTTACTCGTCTCATTGTAAACTTACGTACAGTACCAAAGACTCAACATCATCGAGCCTCCTTGAGGTGATTAATGAAAATTAATCTACGCGTAAATATTAAATACCAACCTCTTCCGAGTCCTTTTTAACAGGCGTGTTCTTGGCAGAGCCGGTGAGATCGCTGTCACTGAAGAGATTTTCGGCTTCCTTCTCGAACCACTGAATATTGCCTTGAAGCGGAGGGGTTTTGCTAGTCAAAGTGGTCGCCGGGCTCGACGTGATCGACGACTGGGGGCCTGGAACTGTTTGCTGTCGCTCTAGGTGGCCTCTTTTAGACGATGACGGTGGCGGCGGTAAAATTGGCCGTACAGTATCTTCCAGCTGTGAATATAGATTTTGAAAAGATCGAAATACACACGTGCATTATCGAATATATACTGCATATTCGAAATTCATTCGTACCTTCATGTTCGCGAACGAATCGCCAAACGGATCGGTTTCAAACAGATCGTCAGCGGAGGGTGGCGGGTTATCAGGGGTAATTTTATTCATGTGATGAATACCTTGCTGCAGAGAGTCCAATTCGAATTGTATATCCAACAAGTCTCTTATCACGCCACTTTGTGGCTCGTTTCGTTTGTCAACCGACTTGTCCACCTCCGAATTGGTATTCCTTACGCGATGAAGGGAGGATTCTGATCCTGCTGCGCCCTGTCGCGAAGCGATTTAACAACGTTTCGTTGAGTTGGAAATTTTACAATTCAGACGGTACACACGACGGTGTGTAGAAACTTCTGGTCAAATGAATTTTTCACGAAAATAATACTTTAAAGTTACTCTGTTGCAACGATATGTTGTTAACAGTGTTTACTCGATGTTGAATTCTATTTTGCTGTTTTACTAAATGTTGGTCAAAATTCATTTGTCCCGGAATTTTTGCACGTTACACTCAATGTACAGAATATATTGAATATTAAAAACTAACAACTGTTTATCGAAGAAAGAGAAAAACAAAAAAAAAAAAAGTCATCGAGAAGAAGTATATCGACAATTACTTTAGTATCGGGGGTGGGTTCGACAAAGATGCCAGTGGTATGAAATTTAATAACGTTCATGGCGTTTTGCTCTAAGTGCTGCTTCGTTAGCTCGATCTCCTTCTTTTTCAACTCGAACACCACTTGGAACAAGTCTCGCATCGCGATTACCACCTGCAAAAAGATCGCAGAGAGTAAAGATCCTTTTACAACGTACAAGTCCTTTAACATTTTACGCGAAAGCTCGCGATAAATGAAATAAAAGGCAAAGGATGTTATTTCACTCGCCAATTGTTAATTAAAAACGGAATCAAAGGGAATGTCAAACGCAAATTTTAATTAATTTTTTAAAATACCTCTTGCCTCGAATTAAGTTTCGAAATAATTAAAAAAAGAAAAGAAAAAAAAGAAACAGTTGAGAGCGTTGCGTTAACACAGGTAAACTCGTCTGACTATGCACTGTCTGCCTTCACTTATCGTGTGCTCCTCCTCTACTACGTATTACGTTTCCCCTTCTCTCGTAGTTCAATCACGTGGTTAGGCTAGATCGTCTCTCTTACACCTTTTAATAACCTTTAACCTCTTTAGCAAATTCGCAAATAATCCGCACACGAAAGTTTCGTGTAGACGTCATACACCGTTCCTCCGTTATCACCAGGATCGGGATATTTTAAACGCCTAGATGCATGTATAAACCGCTTGCTTTGACCTTTCGTTAATGCATAATCATAGAAGAGACTGCACACTCTGCGTGGCAATTTTGAACGTGAACACCTTTATTATTTTCGTTGCTAACAAGTTGGAAATTCTAAAAAAAAAAAGGAAATAGTTCCGAGCTTGTCGAATTTCGCGCTTCATTCTTTGACAAAACTATTAACAATATCGATACGAATAATCAAAAGGATAAAACAGATCTCTATTAACTAGTTTCCTTCGTGTCGACAAATTCGTATGAAAAATTGAAAAAGAATTCAACGAGGGAGAGAACATTCGGGCGTCAAGAAATGTAGAAAACAAAAGCACGATACGATCGATATGATCCAGTTATCTGAAGGAAGAGAATTGAATTTCGGTGACTGTGCGAAACAAAACGGAGAGAGAGAGACAGAGAGAAACGAACGGGAGAGGAAAGAATAAAGAGAGCGGAGAGAACAAAGAGAGAGGAGAGCCACGAAGAAAACGCAATCACTTTGAACGAGCACGAGGAGAATCGCGTATAATCGAACAACAATCTCCCGCGGTGGTATATCCGCTGGAGTGGTATATAGCCCGAATCGTATAATGCAATTATTTACATACCCCTGCGGAATTACCGGAGCTACCGAGGTCGATATTGCTTCTACGGATTGGACAAATATCATTTCAGACCCCGGTTGCCTCGGCAAAGCGAATCGTTTCGCGATAAACGGTTACGGACTCCCCTTCTCGCCTCCGTCGCGTTTAAGGATCGTGTTCGCGCACGAACGGCTCTCCTATCGAATCAACGCGCGCGCCAACCTCCTTCTTTTGTTGCTTCTCAAAGGCAATATCCGCGCCGCGACAACGACGAAAGAATGCCCTTGCGTTCGCCGCCTCTCGCTTTTTATCGATTGCGGGCTAAACGACGAACGAGGTTTCTCTATGCCGCTAATTACCATCAATTTTTAACACTTCCGACACGTGTGCGTACATGCGTTGCACGTACCGGCTTTCGAGCGGCTGGAATCGTTGGTTTTCTTATTGATTTCAAACTGGTGGACTGATTTGATTTTAATTCGATCTGATTTTGATAAAGTGAAATTAATCGTTTTCAAGAGCGAGTTCTTTTTTTTTTTTTGGTTTTGTTGGTGGACGAGCGTTGAAAATATCTGCAAGGTGATCAAGACAGTTATAGTTTTAAGAGGTAAAGTTTTGATTCTGTTCGTGAAAGTTAATCTCGGAAACTATTGTTAAGTTCAATTTTGATCGTAGGGGAAATAATCTCTCGTGTTACACAAATTTACGATAAAAATAGACGGTTATTATTTATCCATGCTTTTTATTAAATTTTGAAATCCGTCGCTGCAACATTCAGTTAATCTGTTTGCAAGGTTTCAAGTAGAAATAAAGATTGTAACACGAAGATTGGAATGTCAGAAAATGGGTAAAGGACCATCAAATTAATTTGCAACCAATACTCTAATCTTGCAACTTTTCCAATTGATACGGTAGGAGATAAGATGCACTCGACACTGTGTAAAACTCACTTGGCTTGCCGCTTTGTCCGTCTTGATGCCAAAGAAACGATGGCCAGTGTCTGGTGACCCAAAAATATATCCGAAAGCCCTCGAATCGCTCATGTCCTGCGCGATGAACGATATCTTATGTACAGGATGGTGATACAGACAGTCCTGGAACAAGAGAATTTCAATCGTGTAGAGAATTATCAGTTTTACGTACACTTACACATTTTACACGGAATTCTGAACATATTCTGAAATATACTCGTTTGTTTCTTTCTTTTCCTTTTAAAACAATTGATCGAAGAAAAGAACTTGATATTTTGGAAAACTGATATTTCAAAGTCAGACTTTAACTCCGTTGTTTAACGCTTAATGTTTTACACTTCACGAAATTCGGGTATTATGGTTTTTAGTTTTGAAAGTCATTACCCCAGACTTTTCGTCCCGCAAGCGTAATCCATCGATGCTGACCTGAACGGCGATTCGTTGTTTGTGTTCACCGGCAGCCCGAATCGCCATCTTCAGATCCGCCAAAGCTGCTTGGCACATCCGGTCCCCGCGTGCTTCCGATACTTCCAATATGCCAATCAGCTTCGCCTTGAACGACACACCCTCCCCAAGAAATCGGGTTGGTTCGTTCTTGACTGTAAATAAAGGCACATGAAAAATTATTTCTTTGTAAAGAAAAAAAAAAAAAAAAGACACTTGAATTAAGAAATACCCAATTTCAACACTCAAATGTTAATGAACAAGAAAGTTCCTTTAAATCCACGAAGAAAAATTGTTTATCTGTTGTTCGCCTGTTAAAAAATATTTCACAAATTATATTTAAAAGCAGAAATACTTGGCCTAGTAGTAACACTCAATATTTCAAACGAACTTGTACATTCAACGTGAAGAAAAAGGATGGAATTTAATATAAAAAAGCAAGAGAGAAGTACCTGAGTCCAATTAATAAAACACTGAACGATCTTCTAAACTATTTCATTCGTCCTCTAAACAGTTCATTTGCAAGAATACAATTAATTGCTCTTCCCATCGCAAGTAGTAATAGTCAACGTTTCAACCCCACTTGAATCCCTATTCCCTACACGCTTTAGGTATCATTAAACAACATCATTTCACTTCCCGGTTGCCTTCGTCCGAAGCGAAAAAGAAGAAAGAAAGATCGAATTATCATTCGTTGGAAAGGGGAAGCGAGCGACAGGAAAGAGAAATAAATTGCTTATCCGAAGGACACTCGAAAGAATTCTCTCGTTTCACGCATTTCGCCGGGCGGACTGATCGTGTGGCCGATCGATATTAAACTGAAGAGGCTCGAAACCATCGGCGACGGATCGTTTCGGACCCCTGCTGCTTCGAATTCGATAATTCGATAGGATCACGCCGTACGGGACTCGACTTGGCCCCCGTTGTCGACGAGACCTCATGCAGGGTGCATTAAAACGAGCACGAAACCGCGACAGATTTCGCGTTACTTTGTTAGACGCCGGCACAGTTCGTTGCCTATCGCATGGAAAATTGATCTCGTGAGGGCTGCGATATAGTTGCTGACGAACTTGGGAACAAAAACGCTCGCTATTGATTTCAAACGATTAGTCGCGTCCTTGTTCGTTTCGGTCGTGATCTTGGTGTTTCAGCATTTATTACCACTGTATCGCGAATTTTAACTTGCAAGATGAGGTGTTATTAATTGGTGTCAAAACTATTGACAAAGCTATTGACAAACGATGAAATTATTTAATATTATTTAATTATTTAATATTATTCTCAGCTTTGTGTTACAAAGATTATAAAAATAATACTGAACTGTCTGATTGTAAAAATAATACTGAACTGTCTGCTTATAAAAATAACAGAGAACTGTCTGAATCATTTGTGAAATCTCGTTTTAAAAAAGCTGTTGAAAAGACTATAAACAATTAAATCCATAGAACATTAAAGTCAACAACAATATCATAAAATAAAATTATTTTAATACTATTCTCAGTTTCGTGTTACAAAGAATATAAAAATAATACGTGAACTGTCTGAATCATTTGTGAAATCTCGTTTTAAAAGGCTGTTGAAAAGACTATAAACAATTAAATCCATAGAACATTAAAGTCAACAACAATATCATAAAATAAAATTATTTTAATATTATTCTCAGTTTTGTGTTACAAAGATTATAAAAATAATACGTGAACTGTCTGAATCATTTGTGAAATCTCGTTTTAAAAAGCTGTTGAAAAGACTATAAACAATTAAACCCATAGAACATTAAAGTCAACAATATCATAAAATAAAATTATTTTAATACTATTCTCAGTTTCGTGTTACAAAGAATATAAAAATAATACGCGAACTGTCTGAATCATTTGTGAAATCTCGTTTTAAAAAAGCTGTTGAAAAGACTATTAAATGACGAGTAATAAACAATTAAATCCATAGAACATTAAAGTCAACAACAATAACCCTGGTAAATATAATATTCAAACATCCTGTAATACTCTGTTCCTCACAATCACTTTACGAACAAATAAACAACTCCGACAGCTTTCAGCCACTGTTAAACCTACACCATCAGCATCCCTGTCAGCGATCATCGCGATTGTACACAAAATTCTCTCGTTTCAATCATCATCATCAGCCCGTGCGTCCCCTCTCGCGGGTCTTAATCTCTGGCCACTCGTAACTTCTCTCGATTTGCCTTTCTACAGACAATTTATCGAAATCTCTGCCCTCCGCAACCCCCTTCTTTCGCCAACACATATGAACAGAGCTGAGCTTCCTTAACGCACACTTTCGACGACCCCTTGCGACTTTAATGGCCACTAGGCACACCGGCGCATTTGTTTGAACGTACTCGTGCGACTCGAGTGGAGAACGCCAACTGTCGATACTCGAGTTTCTCTATCCGGATAACCAATTCATGTCCTTTCCTAACTCCCTCCCATCCCTCCCCCCTGCTGGCGCGGTCACCTTTGTACGCCCTTTATCATACCTTGTTCCTTGCTCTTTGCTTTTAGGGGTGGAAACATAGCGAGACGGTGATAGTGTAGTCGACTAGCAAGTTGAGGGTAAGAACAGGATAGTGAACAGGTTTAGGTCGTTGTGTAAATGACTGTTCTGCTGAACTAGCAGGTTTGCCCTTTCGCTGCGCGTTTAAATTTTCGGACGACTCTTGAAGAATGGTAATTAGGGTTTCCGCAATATTTCTTTCTCGCAGTTCTCTTCGATCGATGCGTATTACTGTAATATCGGGTTTTATTATTAAGCCGTAGGTTTAACTTGTAGTGATAGGATTAGGTTGTAGTTTAATTATGAGTTAATTATTGAGCTTAAAGTAAAGCTAACTTGAAGTATAGCTTGAGTAAAAAATGAGTAAGTAAGGATAAAGTGTGCAATAGCGAATTTCCTCAGTCAGATGAATAGTTACACCACGACCTATTCATTATGTTTTTATCTTCAAACGATACACGCGTTAACTTAATGTTGCATGTTAACAAGTATATTAATAGTTGGTTAATAGTGACAGTACGTTAAAATGTTAGGTCGAAGGAATAATAGATCAATAAGGTGTACATAGTGACAAAATTATCTTGTGAAATGTAATTCTTCTTTCGAAAAGAGAAATTAATCTGATGAAAATGTAGATAATTACCACTAACTTTTAAATCTAATGAAACATTCTGTGAAATTGAACACTTCCTTGATTTTGACGAATTCTGTTTCCATAAACGCGTAATATATAAAAGAATTTTACAAAAAAATTGCAATTATCCGATTAATCAAGTTATCAGTCATATAATCGATCTTGCGACTTTTCAAGTTAATGATTGATTATAGTGTTAAATTAGAAAATAGTGTGGTGTCAGATGATGACGATAATATGCACCTAAGTAATAGTATAATGGAAATATGGTAATATTTATTGATTTTAGTTTATTTCTTGATTGTAGAAATAGCAAATGGCAATAGAATAATAAATAATAGCGCGATAATAGTAACAGAGGACAATGAAAATAGTAATAGATCCTGATATTGTACAATAGTAATTATTTATTAGCAACAGTACAATAGTAATGTAAAGCAAGGTAGAAATAGCATAGTGTGCAGGAAAAGAACGAGTCATCTATTCGCACAGATTGCCAATATTTTCGACATGGTAATTTATTTTCCGAGGGATTTCGTGCTTTTCAACGGATCGTTACAGGTGCATCGCTTTAATGGAGAAAAGAGAGGGACGAGCGAGAAGGATAGGAAGATGCATTGTATCGATAAAGCTTCCTACTAAGCTCGTAGCTTAGATGCTGGTATAAATGAAAATCAGAGGACATATCTGCATCGAAGATTGTTTTAGACAATGTAACGAAATAAAAAAGAAATTATATCTGACGATCCAACATTTCAATTGAGAAAAATTAAACTTACACTATAAACAGATACCTGATTTCTATTAATTTTCTATCAAGCAATTATTTGTTGTAGTAGTGTTCCAAATTTAATTTTTCCTACTCTGAATGCGAAAAATTATTGTAGATTTTGCACTTTACGAGAAATATCGAGAGCTGAAATTTACAAAGGGTGTTTTATAGAAGATCACAGATGTTGAAAAATGCTACTTTCATCGATAGTTGGAGCGTTTAAACTTCTATTTAGCTGTCAACAGATAATCCAGGATGCGAATGTTAATGTGCATAAAGTGTAAACCTATTGGATAGTAAGTGTCGAGAGTGCGTACGTGAAAACTTCTAAAATTACCAAGTTACTCTCCAAAGTCGTAATTAATTTTAATTAGCAAATTTCTTGGATGGATTATTAGGAAACTTTTAATAAACTCGTTGCTAATATGACATTTACTTGGAATATTCGTTATTCGCTTATTGCGTATAATTGTGCAACATCGTTATATCAATTTATAAAAGTTACAATCAAAAATCACAAGTATAAGAATGTTGTCTAATACTTTCCCAAAATTCTTACAAATAGTTATTATAGTTTTATCAATACAGAGTTTGATACGATAATAGTACATAGTAAGAATGATAATATCAACATCATTAAAAGAACATAACGTGCAACATTTCCCTCGAACGTAGTCGATATTTTTATCTATTATACTTTTACTAAGTAATATTTTTCTTTCTCAAGATATACGTCATAAGTTATCTATGTAAAATGCTTTAGGAAAGCATGATTTAAAGATTGATGCTTATTAGGGAGAAAGCCTAACAATGTAATGTTATATTTTAAGCGTAACGCTTTTTCTTTTTATCTAATCTCCTCGTATCAGCGTGCGTTTAGTTCCTATCTCAATTTTAAAGTGAAATTTTGTGTAAATACATGTCGAGTGAATGTTTCAAATATAGTAAATATTTAATTTATATTTCTCTTCGAAAGTTTGAATCTTCGGACTTCAATGTATTCAACACCGAGGAACGTGCAAAAACGTAAAGCAATTGTTTCCAAGTGGAATTAATTGCAAGTAGTACAATCCTTAATACGAGTTGCCCAAATTAGATGGTGCCGCCATCTGTCAGCGATACCATGTAGAAACAAACAAACCAGCAGACTACATTACCACAGTCGGTAAGTCAAAACTGCAACAAAAGCTCGCGCGAAAATCACAAAATTAATAAGTGTCGTTCCGAACAGAGATGCCCGACACCTCCCTTCACTTCATCGAGCTTCGTTGGGGCCACACGATTCACGTATTCATTCCGCGTTATTCACGTACGAAATTAATCTGCGTGGCCCGATTCGAGAAACCGTCGTGTCTCTCTCCCTCTTACAGAATAGGGAAGCCATATTCCAAAGCTCCCTTTGACCGATCTACAGGCTAATATCACAGCGTAATTCCCTTCGAGAACGGCAATGTTCCTCACGAAACAGGCTGAAACTATCGGAGCCACGTAACTCGCCGATACGTATCACAATGCATATACACCAGATACACGGGAACGGATACGTCGATACCGCACGATTCCGATGGTATCCGCGAGTAAATTCGTTACGGGGTTGGCTTTCATATCCCCCTTTTCTCTCTTCTTCTCCTTTTCTTTTCTTTCTTTCTCTTTCCTCTCTTTTCTTTTCTTTTCCTATCCTATCGTTTACTCACACTTGCACGGACTGTTTTTCTTCCGTAAGGTCTGCATCGATAGTTCCGTGTAGGTGACGAGAAGGTGTCGGATATGACGAGAAGAGAATGCAACCGATCTTCTCTCTCGGCGCACCCTCGGCCGCCGTACTATCGTGGATGGTATTCTCAACACAGACACATGTCGCTCACACGTCTTTTTCTCCCTCTGTTTCTACAAATCCTCTTCTGTCGCGTTTTCTTTCCGTTCCTCTCCCACTCGTTCGCTCCTTTTCCGTCTGTCTCCCTCTTTCTCTCTCCCTTTCCTCTCTCTCTCTCTCTCTCTTTCTCTTTCTCTTTCTCTCACTCTCACTCCCACTACCCACCCCTGTACCCCCTTTTCCCCCCGCGGCCTAACTCCTGCCTCTTCAGCTATCCTGGCTGGCCGTTACTCTTCCGTTACTCCCTCTGTCTCCCTCGTTTCGCGTATTTCATTCGGGAGTATGAGGCTGGCGCGTTTCACGTACGCGGTCGGTACTTCTTGTCCCAAGCAGCACGGTGCCACTTTGTCGCAGACACGCAGGAGAACGTCGAGATCTCGTCCGGGCACTGTTCGAAGATCGGTTTCTCGCGGTACACGCGCGTCACGTAAAAATACGGAGGAAGTAACAGCTGCCTCTGCCGGCACAGGTCACCCATGTTAGCCTCTCTTATTGATCAATAATATACCATCTAGTACGTGGCGTCGTCGCTTCGGGGCCGCAGAGAACATTTCCCGGTTCGCGCGCGCTTTTCCACGCCGGCTCTATATTCTTCTCTATTTCATCTCTCCCCTCCCTCCGCCCCGTCCTCCCAGCAGGGGATGTTTGACGATCTGTGAAACAGAGCCACTTTTCCGTAACAGTCGATCTCGTCGGAGAGAGTTATTGTTGCACGTAGCCGTTCCAAACTACCTTTCCTTTCTTTGGCGACTTTGATATCGACCGAGGCTTGGATAGCGATGAACGCGCTACTTTTATTTTTCGTCGCAGCTTCCAGAGGGGTGGCGCGCACGATTGCAATTGATGGTTGACTCCCACTGTTCCGCGAGAATGACGGACAATTGAAAATCACCGTGTCATTGCAGAACAATGTCATAATCATTGTTTGAGATCTTCCGATAAATATAGAGTGTTTTTTCTTTTACAACGTATTTCTGTTTTACGATTCATTCGTTGGTATTATAAAAGAAGAATCATTGTATCAATGACATGTGGATTGTGTAATTCGAAATGTGCATTGCGAAGTAGTTAAATGATCAAGTTCTGTATTTTATTATTATTATTCGTAAATGAACTAATGAAAAGTAGTTTATTAATTGGGGAGAGTTAAAAGTTCATAATTTCATGTAAAATCAACGTGGGTGACGTAATGAGTAGAGCCTGTATTCTGTACGAAAGTTTAATGAATTTATATTTTGACATTCAGTGACAAGCGTTGCATCGAATTTATTTAATTTATTTCCAATTGATTTTAATAGAATTAATTTTAATAGAATTAAAAACAAATGTTCGCGCGAAATTGCTAGTAGGTCATGAACAAAAGGGAGATTCGATGGGGATGCAAAGTTTGAATTACTTACAGGTGTAATTACACTCTGGTGACGATAGATGGCACTGTAAATTTACGCGCAAAAATTAAATCTTCTGTAAGAAGAATGAAGTTTGTTTATTTCTATTTACTTTTTAAACAAAATCATAACACAAAATATAAATTAGACGCCACAAATTTCATTTAAACATTTATTATAATTTTATTAAATTCAATTCCTCGAATCAATCGCGTACGCTGAACGTTAAATATTGCTAAATAATTATTAAGGATTTGTATAATACAAATGCGTTTGTGATATTGCTTATTATTGTACAACTTAACTTCATGAAGTATATTTTCAAAGAGTAAAATCTGATGAATCATAATTTATGATAAGATTAACAACTTATTTGAAAGAAAGTTATTTGAACAAAGATTAAAGTATTAAGAATATTTACTATAGTACAAACTTTGTTGATAAATGTGAAGTGGTATAAAAAACATATTATTTGCTATTATTTTCTCACGTCAATACGAAACATCATAGATTTCGTAATCTTAGCATTACTGAAAGTTTCTCACTATGATTTATCACCCTGGTGTTGAAGGTTAAGTGAATTTAAATGCAATATTTTATGGAGTACGATAAACGATGAGATATACATACGTATACGATTTTACAAGTGAACAACCTGTTTATTGCATCAGAAAGCTATTCTTGAACGTACTTGTGAGATTAAAAATATTTTAATATGTATAAAAAACAATATTATACAATTATACAAAGATGTGCGAATTTTTCTGATAATCATAGCTGTGTAAATATATTTCCCACGATTATTTTTTAAAAATAATTTAATCATTTAAATTCGACGTAAATGCTTCAAAATCATTATTAAATCGTATTCTGAACGTTACGTTAAACCGTAAGTGAAGTTGTTGTAAAATATCTCTAAATAATAGTAAAAAAAAAATGTAACAAATCAAACGCTAAAAAGTCTAAACAAATTGCAGTCGCCAGTGAATATAATGAAGATATAGTTCGTCCAACACGTACAATGTCAACATCTGCATAACCGTTTCCGTTGACGCTGCTTAATTATACGAATTAAGGCGACAGCATTTTTAATGACATTCGAGAACCCCGTCCGCAAAGGCGAGATGCTACGCCATTGGTCTCCTCGTTTTTACCTTCACATCGGAGTCACGAGTTCTCAGTTCGCGCATAGCCGCCGGAGAGGAAGGATGTGTTGTGTCGTTCGTCGCTTACCTCGACTCGACAAGACAGAGAGAAATTAGGGCCGTGGTACATCTTCAAGACGTTTGCGTGCGTCAATCGTGTCTTATCGACGTTTACAGGCTAATCAAGCGGCTGACAAATGAACGCACACCATGACATCCCGTAAAAACTTGGTCGTTGTATTAACGATAGTACTTGGGATTCTCGCAGTTAACGTTTACGCCAGATCTTGGGGTATGTAGAATAAGCATCTGTCGAAAAATTTTATGTGACGAAAGCCCGTATTGACAGCGATTCAACCCGATACACACGGTACGAATAATACCGCGTTGCGGGTCGCGCGAACGCTGTCTCCATTCACGCGGTCTCGGTGGTCACGTACGCCACTTCTCCAGGACTGTTTTACCATGCAGAAAGTCGTGACACGTCTGAAAAAGGTGAATGAAACTGATGTTCGATTTGTCGTGAAACGTTTCACCAGGCATTCGCGGTTCGTATTAATACGGAAATCGGTCGGCACGGTACTTGCCCTTATACCTGTTTACGTAATGAATGTCAAATCGTAGTCTCTTTGTATTCCGTATAGAGAGTTACGTGCCTTGCTACCTGACCGCGCAAGGTCTCGACCGCGGTCAGATACCGAGGGAATTATTGTACACCTAGAAAGTACAAATATCTACGAATTTTCCCTACGAATCACTCGTCGTGCCTGTCCAATATACTTGTTTATTTTACTTATGCAGCACATTCTCCAAGAACTAATATACATATATATATATATATATATATATATATATATATATATATATATATATATATATATATGAATAGTTGGGAAAGTAGAATTCCGGACAGTTAACAAGGTGTCGCTGGTATGTGCGTGCACGCACACGAAGATCGATGTTTAACGAATAAGAGCGGTTGTTTCATTGAAAAGACGAATGAATTGACGAATTGCCACGGCTAGCTCGTCAATCGTCCTCGTTCGGTGAAAATTTTAAACGGCGCGCATCGACGCGGATCTGTTTCACCTACTTTGACTATTTGCCTCTTGACTAACTTGTCGAAGGAAAACCACGTGCCGTTGAACGAGTAAAAATAACCGATGGTTGCGGGGGATTATGTCACACGAATTTGTCGAATGCCGAACGAAACGATCCCCGAATCCCTCGATTCATCGACATCTCGCTCGCGTTGCCGCGAGGTTTGACGCGCGTTCCCGAGAAAAAATATTGCCCCGCGTATTGTCGCGGGTTACTTATGCATCGGACGCAATAATCGAACCGCGCGATTTAATTACGCGTACGCGCGATGAAACGCGAAATGTTGGTTACGTAACGGGGCAAAACTGATAAGACTAATCGGTTTCCTTCGATTCTGCACACTGAATGGCACATTTACGGTGACACGAACGATGTTGCTCCTATCTGCGCATCGACACGCGGCGATATAATATTCTTGTACGACGTATCATAAGCGAAACTCCATCAGCATTGGTTTAACCTTGTTTAATCTTGCGCTGGAATGACGTGCCGCGCACGTCGAGAATTCTTTTTCTTTTGTTCCCAAAATTGCAATATTTTCTCGGTTTTAAGTAGTAGTTTATTTAGTATTTATAACGCAGGCAAAGCAAATAATAAATTCGTTACGTCTCAAGTAATTTCTGTTGAATGGTGATAGAAATGACGACGGGTTCAAAGAGAAAGCGAATTTATTGTATACGGTTCGGTCACTCGTTACGGTCCGCAATCAGTTGCCCAGCGCAAGTGGTTAAAGCATCGCCAGCCCGCTAATTGGACAAGACGAGTTAATTTCTTATTCTTAGCTTGCTAAACGTCACGTATGAACTTGTTAATTTATTTATTTAGGAATCCTTTGTTTGTAACAGACCATTGCATTTTTGTATTGTTCTTTCCATAATCGATGGAATAAATAGTTCCACCGTCTTTCACGAGCAACGAGCATTACAGACATAATTTTTATTGACATTTTTAATTCATTTCAAATACTAAATTGACCAAAAGTTGCTCGAAGAATTTTCTTATACTTCAGTGAAGTATATTGAATATTATTGTAGTAGGAATACGTTTAAACGATTATCTCTATTTAACGAAACGAAATTTTAATTGATGCCTGATTAACTGAACTTTTTGTTTACTTGATTGTAATTATGTAACAAATGGCAAGGTCGCGGAGAAAATTGGTGTTCCTCCCGTGACATAAATTATTTGTCCATTTACAAGTTCCGATGAACGGAATTCTATTCATTATGTGCTATAAATTGTTTAACATTAAAAAGAAAAAAAAACGTTGCTTGCACGTGTAATGCATAAAAAAAAAAAGAAAGATTATAAATTATACATTAACGTAAAATTATACATAATTCATTCGATAATGTATTGCATGCAAACATTCGTCCATTTACAAGTTTCGTTAAAAAATTTTCGAAATTCTATTCATTTCGTGCTACAATTGTTTAATGTTTCAATAAAAAAAGAAAAATAAAACATTTCTTGCATCTAATGCGTTAAAACAAAAAAGAAAGAAGGAATAATGTTAAAATCAATGAAATTCTAATTCGTTGAATATTATACCATACCATATTTTACTCAGAAATACTATTAAAAAAATCGATTATTTGCAAGGAACATGAACGTTAATAGAACTAACAGCGTGAACATGATTATGCAAAATGTGCGTACCTCTGCAGCGTGACATTGAAAATGATTCATTTCGTCGATTAATAATTCGATTTGGATTTCGCCGGCACCGACCTCTAGAAAAAATTCCTTTTGATAACTCGACGATACATATTGTGATGAACGTATGAGAGATTTTCACTGTTGCACCTCATTTTATTCATCTTGTTAATGAGATTCGTTCGAACGTGTTTGTTACAAATGACGAGAACGTTCGATGCACGATGATGCTGAATAAATGCTGCGTTCTGAATATATTTCGCGATCGGCGAGACGGGCAACGTAAGACGTTAATGATTTCGCGTAAAAGAGCGAAATGTGCACTGGCAACGAATTTACTAGAATTTACTAGAATCAATTAACAAAATCCTAGAGAATAATAACGGCGAGAAGATGACTCAGCTTTTTGATTTTTTTCACTTAATTTTTCATTACGTATTCGCCCCGACGCATGAATCTAATGGATCGCCTTTCAATGCAAATTAACTCGATCGATTATTATTTGATCTCTTGATTCGTTGATTATACGATGTAACAAAAAAAAAATTAAATAATAATTGATGAGAAAGGAAAGGACACGCTGTCAGAAAATTATCCTAGAGGAGGTAACTTTGTTGTTACGTTGTTTATACAAATTTTTATCAAGTTTTATTGGCAAGTAACTGTATTAAAAATGTTCGCAATATTATCGTGAAAAATTAACATAAATTATAATACATTATACAGTCAAATATGATAACAACATATATTACTGTAACATTGTTCTTTTATATCTTATATTTCACGATCCTATCATTGTGTTTCTATCAGAATTGTGTCAAAGTTGTGAAAAATTACTGTTTACTATTCTATCTTTTCTTGTGTACATAGACGAATAAAAGTTTGGAAGAAACACTGATATAGTTTAATATAATAACGAAACATTACACGAGTGATATCTGTTAAAAAATTGAATGTTGGATTTTCCTCTTATTATCTGTTCTTGCATAAACGAAATCTGTAGTTGTACGTAAGTACACGATATCGTCAATCAGACAACTATTTCAATGAGAATGGAAGTTACTTAACATACGCGTAGACACACAAGCATACTTGTACACATCGAGAACGTTAACAGTTCTCCATTCCATGTTGCGAAGACATTTCCATTTCCTCCAACAATGAACAAAAAATCTGATGATCTTCGACTTTCGACTGATATTTAAATAATCGCTGCTTGTCACATTACTCTCTTATTTACGATCGACGCACGCTAGATGCACTAACGCCGTCTTGCGTAATTGTCGATGCGTGTTTTTGATTTCTCGATATCTAGAATATAACAACAATATAAAAACAATGATCTAGAAACCGGAAAATTTCTGCCAATGGCAAATTGACATAAGCTTGTACGATCGTACGAAACAGTAAAGTTCCGTTTTTCACCTCTTTCGACGGTGTCAAACATTTTGTAGCTGATTTAAATGTAATTGGAATTTCTTTTTCTTTTTTTTCGTTTAAATTCCACTTAACATCGTATAAGCGACGAATAATTGATTAAGAAAATATTACTTACGATATTAAAGAATATTGTAGAATAATTTACGTAACGAGAGTCACCAATATTGCAAATTGAAGATGACTTTTAATTTTGAGATAGAACGTGTCCTTTAATTTCTGGCGCGCACTTTTTAAATGTCCGACAGTTGCGCGCGCAGCAATGCATGCTAAAAGCACGTGTAGCGCTTCTTACACTCGATAAAAAGAAGAAATATAAATTATATATTTACATTTCTTATAATTACACGACCTCATAAAACTTTTATGTAAATGTTGAATAATGTTGACAATTGAATAACACTGGACGTAAATGTGAAACGATAAAAAAAAGAATTGCAAACTTTTATTAAAGATCGCCCGAAGTGTCACAACTTTGAACTATGAACCATGGTATTTTTCCCTCAATATTTCGTTATCTATAGAAAATTTATATACCCTCCAATAATGTACTATATGCGATCTTGAGTAGCATCGATGCCGCCAATTTATAGATTAATTTATAGTCTCGATATAAGCAAGTGCATGTGTATGTATCTATGGTGTCATAGAAATTCGAATGCAAATTTTTTTTGTACATTACACTACCTGTATCATTGTTTCTCACAACTAAAATTTTTGTGCAAATTTTCTCAAAAAAATGTTGTTACTTACAACATTTTACAACTTGATATCTAGAATAAATATAACAGATAGTGCAATTAAGTTAAAAAATAATTAAAAGCACGAATATTAGAGCCATTGTAAACTTTTATTTTTTACACTAAATTATTTACATTCGAAACTCATCTTCTTGTTCATTTAAAAAAAACTGTAAAAAAAAAAAGACAAAATTACGTGAATCAGGAGGGATTTTTTTTAAAATAAATATTATCAAACAAAAATACCAAATGATAACGTTAGGTTGTAGAATCTTACACCGAAGTTTTACTTCTCGATTATTAAATTGTCAATACGTTCCAAATTGAAAATATCCAATATCATAATAACGTTTAATAAGCTTTAATTAAGCGATATCTATAATGCGAATATCTTACAATTAGCGTGAAGGATGAATACTACGCACAGGCGTTATCTCTCGTTCAAAATCGAGACGATTGTTACTCGGCTTACACTCGGATGTAATAAACTCATTTGCATTTTCGCTGATCTAATATTAAAGCGAATTAAGCCTTTCTACTGTGAAATGAGTCACGAAAATTGTCTCGAGATCCTTTGAAGCACTTGTATTGTTCTAAACTTTTCACTTATCTGCCTTATCGCATTTGTTAAAAATATTTAAACCGAAGTATACTGAAACAAATAATTTTCAACTTTGAAAAATTGGATCGATCGTCAGTTGCTCGAAATACTCGAACGCATTATTGAAGATTTTTCACGAAATCACTAATTCTCAGTAAAAAAAAAAACAAAAAGAAAAAGAAAAAAAAACTGATTTATTTTCCTGCAGATAATTGCATTTGTTTTTCTTAAATATTATCGGGTATTAACTACCACTGTAATTAATTCAGATATAACGGTATTAAAGCCTAAAGATATTTTCAAGCAAAACAAGACCAAAATTTATAAGTATGCACAGCAGAAAATAAAATTGTAGCAAATTACGATTTTCATTCTATAATAATTAAAACAGAGAAAATTAATATTCACGTCGTTTTTGACAAATATACTTGGACGATCAGAATTTGACGTTTGGAAATAATTATTAATACATCCACGACAGCTGACGCGTTACTATGACTCGAGAGTAGGACAGATTTCTTGTTATTCATTTCCATTCATGATCGTAAATCGTACATTCAATCATACATTATATATACATCGAAATAAGATTTTCCTACTTCTTTTAATCGCAGACTCTTCTGTTTCATGATTTAATATGAGTCGGTAATAAATTAACAGCCACGAATGCTGTGAATTTAATCAGCCGATGTTTCTCGAAAACTCGCGATCAACAAACTTCAGACAAAGTCCATCGCGACTTACGTGACTGGAAACGGCAAAACTCGTATCAATTTTTTTCCAATAGTTTTCCTCTGTGATAGTAAATGACATGAATTATTAAAATAATTGCGTTCCTTACAATGATAACGATATAAACGCCATTAGCAACAATTATTATTTGAAAAATTTTCGCACTTGTAAATTGTAATCGCGTATAATATTACGTTCAAGCTCCAAAGTGCGCGAATAATTTTCTATTTATCTAAATAATTATTTATCTAAATATTCACAGAAAAAGTTGAACTTTTTGTTGAAGTTGAGGTTTCTAAGAAATAACGGGATAGGCACTGGTTGTGTTACAATATTTACATACTTCGAACTGCACATCATCATCTACGGCTTCATCCGAAATGTCAAAGATATCTCTTATTCTAATCACAAAAATTAGATAGATGTTCCCTAATGATATTTGAATTATTGCATATAGTGTGTACCTTATATATATATATATATATATATATATATATATATATACATGAGGAACAATAATTCAAATATCATTAGGGAACATTTATCTAATTTTTGAAATAAGAATGATAGAAATTTATAAATTAAATATAAATATAATATAAATAAATATAAATTTGTATATAATATAATAAATATAATATAAATAAATATGAATTTGTATATAATATAATAAATATAATAAATAAAAATTTGTATATAATACAATAAATATAATAAATATAAATTTGTATATATATATCCACGGTCTAATAATTTTATATATATATAATCGTTATATCGCGGATTTTTATACAAATTTTTTCATGAGATTTCACCTCTGGTGAAAGTTACTCGTAAAACTGATCTTTAAAAGAAAAAAACCCTTTAAAAAGTAACTTGTAAAATTTACCTATTGCAATGTTGGAGAAAAACCTCGCGTTAATTACATTAATTAATAATTGACAGTCTCGTGAATTATTAATTAAACGATCACAGTGCAAGTTCAACGAAATGCAATATTGAAACGAAACGTTTCTATTTTTGTATTTTGCAGATTTAGCGATAGTGATAGGGCGCGAGGTGGAATTTTTGGCGCGAAATCAGACGGTAACTGGACAGGCGAAATTAGCGGAAGCTGTGACCCTGTCGGGGGTTGCTTACGATGATACCACTAAGACAATGTATTTCAGCGATGTGAGTAACAACAACATAACCCTGTTCAGCAATGACTTGAGGGACAAGAATTTCACGTTGAAACCACTGCTTAAAAGTAAGTATTACGTATAATAGTACGTTAAACAGTATTTTTATAGATATTTCTTTCAGTTTCCGAGTTGCTTTCGATTTTATTTCTGAATGTTTTTTACATTTTTATTTGCGTAATTGCGTGAAGATGGAGATAGAGTTTATTCTAAAGGTCACTGAAGAAAAGTTAACAAATTTTGATTATTACAATGTTTTTCAAAATAGAATTGAATAGAACTTCTCGAGGAGTGTTATGTTATTTGATGGATGATATTCGAATTAATTTAATTTACTTGAAATTAATAGAAAAAGTATTAATTTAATTAAATCTGATTGAAAGACATCCACGTAGTATAAACATTCATATCAATATTATTTTTCATAAATTAATATTATTTTCCACTCTATTAAAACACAAAAAAAAAAAGAAAACTCGATGAAATAGTTTTTATATCTTGTAACAGTTTGCCGATTAATAGTCCGACTCGTGATAATGTATTAAAAAAGATTCAGTTGGCCTACGTTTTTTCGTGGAATAGAATAATAAACGCATTGTGCAAAATTTGAAATGATCACAGTAATAATTAGAGAGGGGAAAAAATACATAACAGGCCACTTGTCTTTCAAGTATCAAAATAACAAGATTGTTATTGCGTGAATAAAGGATTTATTATCAGACTTTATATTAACGATATTATAACGTTGTATTACTTTGATGAAGAATCTTGATTTGATAAGATAGACAAAATAATATTTTTCATTCATTAATCCTACAAATCGCGTTATCTAATTCGATAATCTAGTTCGATTGCCTTTTGATTTCCTTTAAATATTTAGAATAGAATGTAAATTTTTATAATATTCAGAACTTCTTCTGACATGAATAATTTCTTTTTACGCATTTAACTCACGTCTTTAATAATTCTTTACGCATTTTACTTACGTCTGTCTGTACAATTATCTGCTAAAGGATAAAAAGAAATTAAATGAAAGAGATACGACAGTGAACAAAATCCAGTAAATTTTGTTTTCTTAAAATAATGATGGAAAATATGCAAAAGATAACAGTATCGTTCAAGTTTTCATCCCTCGATTTATTTCTGGATATTCACTCGATTAAAAGAGACACCTCGGACTATGAAAACGGTGAAATGAAATTCTTTTATTCAACGTAAGAAGAGATTTCGTGAATGATAAAAGATCAAAGGTCAACGTTTACTGATAGTGTATTGATTCGAAGAACAGACTAAATATCACTTATTGTTAGAAACGTAATATCGAATATACTTTATAATTTTAATTCTTGAAGTTTTCATCATAGAATCCTCGATGCTTCCACTGAATGACAAAGTTTAAAAAATCAATTATTTATCGGACATATAGAGGCAAAGAAATGGTTCAAATGTTTCGAAAGCACATCTTTGGAGAAGCTACATGTAACTTCATTCATAAATATTAACAGGCAAATACAGATGCATAAAAATAAATGGACAGAGATCAATCGACAGGGGGAAACTATATTTAAAAATTTCGATGTATCTTTCCAGATGTATAAACCAGATATTCTTTGTTATCCGTAGAACACAACAAGAGCAGTTACATTATTGCCATCGTCTTCGACACAAGCAGACGAACCTTATTTTGGAGCGACCCCATGCAAGGAGTGATCATGAAGATGCACGTACCACTAGACGGCCCACCGGATGAACCAACGATCCTCCACAATTTGACGCACCAGAGTCCGCGCGGTATCGCTTTGGACGCATGTAACAGGTGTGCCATTTATGTCCTACGTAGAATACTGTCGTGCCCCATTCACGGCTACACTCGGGCAATCTCGAGCGGTCTAGTTCCATTTAGAAATTTTGCGTTAAGTAAGAGAGCGAGTGAGAGAGAGAGCAAAGAGAAAACGGGACTTAAAAAAGAAGAAAATAACAGGCGACGTAGGATGAGGCGCGAGTGTTTGATAATTGTACCTTGTGTTTCCAGTCACATATACTGGGTGAACAGCAATAATACGAATCCAAGTATCGAGCGGTCGGATCTCGATGGAAGGAATCGAGTAACAGTGATCAAGGAGAATTTATACGAGCCGTTGGCAGTCGCTGTTGATCACAGCAACAAGAAGCTGTATTGGATCGACGATGCGGAAGGCGTGAGGATCAACATGGAGCGCAGCAATCTCGATGGTAGCGAGCGTGAACTGTTGGTTCACCCCAAGAGTCATCAGCCGGTGCATCTGGCATTGGACAACGACTCGATATATTGGTCCGATTTGGTGCACAGAGCCGTTTGGACTATACCAAAAGACGCAAAACTTGGAGATTTGCCGAGTAAATTTCGTTCGTATCAGTCGAATCACGATGCCGAGCCGGCTGGTATCGTTACGCGTGATAACCTTGGCAAAGCAGACTGCTCGGCTGGCGTGAATGTAAAACCAAGAGCTAACCTGACGATCGTGCAAATCGACGAAATGTCGTACAACAATTTAACAACCAGCACGGAGGAATCGGAATCAACTACCGAGACGTTCCAATACTGCCTGAATGATGGTCACATCGACGAGAATGAAGGAAAGTGCCAGTGCAGACTTGGGTACGTTAAATCTCTGTTTTCTAGTTTGGACTTCTCTCGAGAAAGATGGACCGAGTATAAGCTCGATTGTTCTAGATTCACTGGAACGCATTGCGATGTAGATCTCTGTCACAATTACTGCTTCCGTGGCAGTTGTAACATAAACAGTGACGGGTTGCCCACATGTAGGTGCAACGACACATTTACCGGACCAAGATGTGAAACAGACCTGTGCAAGGATTATTGCTTGCACGACGGTCAGTGTTCCGTCCAAGATGAGAAGCCAGTTTGTAAATGTAAATATTCCGAGGGGGCTCGTTGCGAGATTTTAAGCAATATTAAACTTTGTGAGGTGTTCTGTGCGAACACCGAGCCAGTTCCTACTAGCGTCGCCACTGCTAACTGCAGGTACGTCGTTTCTGGCTTTTGTAATTCCACTCAGTTTCAAATTCCTACTCTCTGTCTGTTTAGTTAAAATGATTATTTATTTCACATCAGAATTCGTGATTAACTTTTCAATGACAAACAACAAATAACTATATATAAGATTATCTTTGTAAATAACTTGTCTAATTAGCAAAATAATGAAATTACTGTGTTATTTAAAAGTTAATAAATGTACAATTAAAGTTTGAAGAATAGATTGTCTCTAATGGATTCTCGTTATTTTCTGTTGACAGATGCACCGAAAGAAATCAAGCACAAATGGTGACAGCTAAAGAGGATAATGAATACAGAACGATACTACCAATTCTTAGTGTAATCGTTGGAGTACTTATTTTCGTGATAGCCGTACTTAGTTATTATGTAAATAAATTTCGAAAACGGCCACGCATTAAAAAGCGCTTTGTCGTCAGCAAAGGTGGTGTGACGCCACTTACGTCTCGGCCGCAACTGCCGGACAATCAGTGCGAAATAACCATAGAGAATTGCTGCAACATGAATATCTGTGAAACTGTGAGTGATCCACCAGTTAAAATATAAATATTATTTATGTGCATGCTAAGTATGGGCATATAATATGTATATATACATATGCAATTGACAATGTAAGATATGTACTGTAGCTAAGTACATACTCAGGGGAAAAAGAATCAATTAAAGAATTTAAAAAAATATATACATATATATATATATATATATATATATATATATATATGTATTCAAATATGAATCTCAATTAAGCAGATCGTTTCTTTTTCCTCTAATCTAAGAAATTCAAGTGCAAAATGAGAACAGATATTATAATATCGATGTTCTTCAATTTTTTAAATTGATAATGCTTATTACTTAGTTTTAGTAGAAAATATAAATGCCTAATTACTTTGGAACACTCGATATCTAAATAATTGACATAAACTGCATATTTATTTTTTACTAACTTCAATGCTATTATAATGAAGATTTTTTGCAGTTATAACACATTTCGCTTATGTCCTGGTTGACATGTCGCTGCGCATGAATTCATACGTGTAAATTGTTTCATGATACTTGAATACATACAAAAATTCATTAAAATAAAAGAATCATCGTATCACACTCCATTGTGAATAAATGCTGCAGTATGAAATAAATATTCAATAATTTAATGAATAACTTGTATTGTCAAAACATTTAATTTTAAGCGAATAAACAATTTTTTAATATGAAACAGTCGTTCCGACCTGACCTTTCTGTAAAACAATATCATGAAAAAGAAATTTAGTATGAAAATATTGGAATACTGAGCATGCGAATTTTTCGTGAATGTAGCTTAAAGCCTTTATATACTTTTTATTCACATGTACAGTGAAGAACATATCTATATCAAAATTCTTCACTGTAGATCAAAATTCTTAAATAAAAATTTTTGTTGAAATCGTATAAAATTTAATTCTTTTTTATAGTTTACCGAAGATTCATCATTCTCACTATACTCAATTCATCACAAGAATTTTGAAACGAATTTTAATCGAATTCGTAGCATTTAAACTTTAATCTTTTACAGCCATGTTTCGAACCAAAATTACGTGCTGCAGCGCCAGAAACCAATGGTTCTAAGAAAGAGGAGAAGAATTCTTTGCTCGATAACATGGAGGAGAATTCGTGGTAGCATAAATTGTTTGGATGTGTCAATTGACAAAGAGTTTATGGACTTGAGAAATTCGTGAAAAATTTAGCTTTGCGGAACTGCACACGTTTGTATATACCGCAGAATGCTGTAGTATTATTGTTATGTTTAATAACGATGCTTACGAGATGTACGAGAACACCTTGACGATGTCAGTCCAAAAAAAAAAAAAGAAAAAAAGAAAGCCAAAGGTCATTTCGAGGACTCTTAATTTCTTATTACGTCATATAACATGTAGGGCTGTGTTCATATGAAGATTATTTCATCTAGTTGTTAAAGGATTATCAATCTTTTTTAAAAGATATGCAATTATATATTTTTCATAAGAGAGCAGGAAATCTTATGTTCTATTGGCATTCTTTAAATGCCGTGGTGTATAAATGACAGAGAGATATATACATACATGTGTAATTTACATAAAATTTACAAAAATTTTGTATAATACTGTTCGATATTTCCTGATTCTCTGGTTTATTCCTCGTTCATTTCTATCCATTCTTTTTTTTTTTTTTTTTTTCAAATAGCGGGTTATATTTTAAAATAAATAGCTCCGTGCATTAATTCTGAGTGAGTGCAACCGAAGGGTACATGAAACATGCCTTAATTGCTAATGATTGCTCAACGTATCACTGATATAATTCTAAAAAAAATTTTAGTAGTGAGTACAGTTCTAAAGAAAATTTTAGATTATACTGAACTGTGTTATGTTTATGAGAACGAAAAATGAAAGTTTCTAATCAAGATTGTCATCGAGCTTAATTTTTAAGCATTAAATTATTAAAACTGATGGGTTTTTTAGTTCACTTATGCTTGTTCTCACATAGAGAACGCTGTTTGCAGATAAACGAAAGATATATCAATAGACAAGATTTTACATATTGTTTTATTTAAAAAAACAAAATGCTAGATTTTAGAGAAAAGAACTTGAGGTACCAAATGATTCTACTAACTGCCCTGTACATTTTATAAAACACAAAAATATAATTTAAATGGTTTAAGAAGTTCAGTGTTCATGTCAAAATAAAGAAATTTTATTTATAAATTATAATATTAAAAAAAAAGAAATTCGTAGTTCACGTCTATAAATTTACATCTTGAACAATAATATAAATTGTGGACATTTACATCCATAGAAAGTACAACAAACGTGTTGAAATTCCTTTGCAGACTGAAGGATTCTATGTAATCTCTTGGTTTAAAAAAAAAATAGAGTACAAATAGCTATATACCTAAGTGAAAGTGACTTATATAAAATATGATAAAACAATGAGAGGATCTGTTTGAAACTGTCATGTTATATTTTCCGTCTTATTGCTTCCAATAATGAGATAACAAATTGTACTTTCTACTGTACTTCAATCTTCTCTTTGTACTTAAAACACAACTTGTTCACGGCATAAGGTAGCTAACTTTCAACGATGTATACCTACTTAAAACATGAACTTATACCGATTTATACCAAAGTTTTGTGTAACATTATCAACATTAAGTGTAATAGTATAATTTCTAAAAATTATTATCTGGGAGATAATATTAATGATTAAGTTTATAGATCTTCATATACATATATGATGATGATGATAATACTAGTAATGATAAAATGGTTTTTTTTTTGCACCAAATGAAGTTATATTAAATAAGTAGGTAAAACAGGAAAACGATTGTAGCATGGTAGTAGTTTTTACGATGTAAAAGTGTTATGCAGCTATATATATCCTGTTTTAAACTAATTTATAAACAGAAAATACCATTATTATTATAGTATAAAACGAGTTACTAATTCAAACAACATTCGTTATTTTTTTTTTCGATATGTGAATACTTCTATTTTTTACGCCGCGGAATAATGTTCCTGTTATAGAGGCAAATTAAGAACATGACGATTTATTTTGTTCCTGTATACGACATTAGTAGTATAATTTAATAACCATCGTCTTTTGCAATGGCGCGATCCATTTTTTGAAAAACTTAGTCGACAATTTTATACAAAATATTTGAATTATTTGTTAGAATTGTTCAAATAGAATGATACAAATACCATATTTGGAATGTAGTCCTCTCTCGAGCACTCAACCCCAGAGGAGGGTTAGTGGATTTATAGTGAAAGGCTTATATTCCCTTATAAATTATGCATAAATAACATATATGGCCGAATTACAATCTTTATTGTTTTGTTTTTCAGCGATAGGAAACTATGACTTCGATCGTTTTTGTATCGGTACTTAAATTATTTTATTGTTTTTATAATTGTATTTACTTTATAGACATTTTTAATATTTTGTATCATTCTATTATAATTAACATGTTGATCGCTATTGTATACAAATAAAAATGTAATAAAAATAATTAAGACTAGTATTTGTTTTATATTTTTATTGTATAATTTTTATGCTACATCCTGTTAAATTTCTGTATATATGCAATAGTATTTTCACAAATTTAGGAAAGATGAATAAAATAAAAAAATACCTGCATGTTAAATAGAGATATTAAAGTGAAAAACAATGAATAACAATATTAAGAATTATTATTAGAATAATTACATGCAAAAGATTAACATAAAAATAGGAAATTTATATAACTCACAAATACTTCATTAGTCTGCTTTTAACTGACTTTCAGGTAAAATTACTTTTTCACCAGGTTTAAATGCAGGCATACCAAGATATGGACAACTAGCACATCGAAATGCATCCCCAAGATAACACTGAAAAATACATATATGTTATCTTTTATTTGAATTTTTTAAGAATAACATAAAAATGTATAAATTACATACATTTCCACATGAAGACTTTGCAGTTTCCTCAGGTGCAATTTTCCCACTTAATTCTTCAGCTAAGCCACAAGTACAATCTTTGCAAGCTTTTCGTTTACCCGTTGTACTACATACTAAAATTACAACATTATAAAAATATAATAATTCTTGCTAAAAATCTCAATAATTTTCAAAAAATTCATTACAAATAAAATTGACTGCAATTTAATTATTAATGAATGATAGAATCATTTTTTAAATTTATACATGAACAAAAGTATTCAATTTACCTCTTAAGTTGGTTACAGGCTTAATAATATCATTTTCATCTAAAAGATCATCTTCATTGATTAATTCTTCATCAACAGAAGTGTCTAGTTTCCATACATTAGATTTCTTTTCACTCAAATTAAGTGTTACACTAGAACCAATCTGTATAAATTTAAAATAGATAAGAATAAAAAACATGCTTCATCAAAGTTAATTTTGGAACTCAAATAAGTATCACTCACTTCAAAGGAAGGTTTTTCCGCTACTACTTCACAAATATTATCTATATTATTGTATATATTAAGTAGAAGACCTTTCAACTGTTTTGTATCGAAACTTTCTTGCTCTTTCACCTTGAAACCAGTCAATTTCAAGTTAGACACCCTTTTATCGTAAACAGACTGTGCATTTTCCTTTTCTTGGACTGACTCATAAATAATCAATATTCCTCCTGGTTTCAACATTCGGAGAGATTCTTCTAGAAGCAGTTCAAGATTTGGACACAATTGTTTAAAAATAGAAATAATTGCATCATAGGAAGAAGAATTAATACCTGGGAAAGAATTTAATACATATAATGATAAAATATTTTTCATATACGAAAGTGATAAAAATAAAAAATATCTAATGTTTTTTGAAAAATGTTTAAAATACATAGATATATATGTTCACTTATCTATTTCATACATATGACAGTACTTAAGAATACCTACATTTATTCAATTCCTTGGTTGATATAGTTGTTAATTGTTCAGCACTGTTAAGATGTTTTTTAATTTCACTCGCAAAGTCTGTAATGTCATTACTTGAAGTTTCACTATCTAGGACCACTAGAACACTGCTATTTTCTTTGAGGAAAGTCATTTTTTTTTCTTTTTTTTTTTTTTTATAAGCAAAAGACGTAAAAAGCTATCCAAGATGCAATTCTCATGCAATGTAGTATTCAGCTGATTGCATGATTTAATGAAACATAGATGTGCAATTCTGTAGACAATTCTCCGATACTAGCGCCACTTACCATAAAACTAAAAGCTAGGTAACTATTATATTTGAATAGAATAAAAACATATTCCTTATTATACATATTATGGATTTAATTAGGAACAAAATCATGCAAAATTAATCAAAGTAGAAATTGTAATTTTCGTTAGAATCGTTCTAACAATTCACTTGGATGACAATAACTTTATCATTACTTTTTTTTTAAATATAAAATAATTGATTATTATGGATAATAATAAAATGATTTTCAAAGCTTTTTTAAAGATTATTTAAATATTTCTAATAAATTATTTAGCGTTAACAACCGCTTACATTATTTATACTTTTCAATTAAATGAAATTCATTTATTATTAAAATAAGACATACATGTATAAGCAAAGTATTCGCATGAAATCATCAATTGATTGCCATACCTTCAGTAATACTGCGATAATAATCTTATCGTATCATTCAATCTTATATATAATTGTCAATCAAATATGTCAGTAGTATATGCATAGTTTCATTATGTCAGTATCGGATTGTATAGCTTTAAAAAAATAAGATTCTTTTCGTTGAAATATTTGTAAAGGAATTTTCTTGATATTCTTGAGAAAATTGAAAATTGATAATATAAGATAATTAAAATTATTAAGGAAGGTTTTAATTCTATATAAAATATTTGATATAATATATCTTTTATGTAGAGCATATATTACATAAAATATATTGTATGAAGAATTTAAATTAAGATTTCATCTTAATATACTAATACAAAGGTTTTATTTCAATTATCATGAGAAATAAATTCATATAACAATTTATTCATCAGAAAATAAGATTAATTTAATCAAATATTAGAGAATAATATGGATGGTTTGCAATTAAAATTTTCCTAGATTATTATCTTATCTGGGCAGTTGAATACTTGAAGGAGGATATTGAATATTTAAAGAAAATACACAATTAATGTATGTATTTCAATAAGATGTGGTAGGGATAAATTCCTTCATACGTACATAACATATCTTCTTACTTCTCAATGCAGAAAACGTATCTTACGTGATAACCTAATGGTCAGTCGTTCACTGTTGTTTAAATAGTTCTCTTCAAGTGTTTTTCAACCAGTTAAAAGTTTCAATTTAGAAGGTAAATTTTTATATATAAACAATTATTTTTAATTTATTTTTACTCTATAGAACAATAATACTTTAACAATACTATTTTTTAGAATAATTAAATAATACATATTAGCTTTATTGAGTATATATGTACTATATATTGTACTGCAATCTTCTAATACACTAGTTTAGTGTACTAAATATGTTTGACATTTTTGACAAAACATGTTTAAAATTTTTGTATTTTTTTTTGAAAATATAATGAGAAAACTGATTTATATTCTTTTCTTAATGTAAATGTAACAAGTGACAAAATTATTGTTCTAATAACAAAAAATTAAATATAATTTATCGTATAATTACATTAAAAACATTTTTATGTCACGAGCTTGAAGAAAAATTTTCAAATTGTAATTCAAATTTTGTATTGAATTTTGATACGATTATTATTTTATTACTAATAATTTTTTTTTTTAATAAATATATAAATGTATTTTTATTATCATTAAAGTAATTATAATAAAATTATAAATAAAATTTAAAATGATATTTATGAATCTTTTCAACAAAGTTTTCATAGTATTTTATTTTATGAAAATTTGTATCACATAAATTTTAAATATCATTTAATTATTTTATCTATTATTACTGGGGGTCTGTGAGAGGTCAGTCTTATCATAATTTACTTGAGCAATGTGTATTACGAAAGCATTATGTGTTAAATATTACTGTAAATATGTATATGTATATATTTTAAATAAATATATAACAAAAAAAAAAAAGAAGTTAATATCTGACAATTCTTTGTACAAAAAATGTATTTTCTGATAATATTATCTGTATTTGATATGTGTATTTGATAAATATTATCAAAAAGTACAATGTATATCTAATCAAAAGATAATTTTCTTTTAGAAAACATTTTCACATCTCTATTTCTGATAATAAAAAGTGCAAAATATGTACTTAATGTATTATATGATCAATAATATATGCAATTTAGTAATAGTACACAGTCAATAAAATGAAATCAAATTATATTGGAAATTATGTAGAAATGAAATGCATGAAAATAACTTGTATTATATTCTAAAGTAAAAAAATTTTTTAATGAAATACTTGACTTTTTTACCATAATTACATGTATATAAATGTATAGATTCATTTCTTTCACAGACAAAAATGGTTCAGGATGGAAAGGTCATTGCTGAATCTGCATCTATCATGTCAAATAGTGTAGAACATGATAGAATGTCACATACTTTAGTGTTTTATGTTAATGGCAAGGAGGTATGTATATATTGTATATAATATTTCATATATTTGCAATTTACAATATGCATGCATCTAAGAGAAATTAAACACCTATATTTGTGATACATTCTTAGCATTTAATTTTAAGAACGTTTATTTTGCTTCAAATAAATCATTAGTATTAAAATTAGTAAATTCTTTGATAAATGTGTCTAAATATACACATAAATGAACTGCAAAGAATATGTATTTGCAGGCATTCAAAACCTGTTTGACTCTGTTTATTCTATCTACTTATGTATCTATTGTGTCTTTCAATAAACAACTTACATAAATATTACATAAATACATATTTATTATTTATTATAAATTCATATTTACATAAATATATATACTATAAGTATTTATGTAATATTTATAGTTCTATAAAATTATTTATCTTGATCTTTTTTTATTTGAATAATTAATAATTGAATAATTTGAATAATTAAAAAAAAAATTTTTAAATATGCCTTTACAAATTACTATCTTATATTATAAATATTATAAATACAAATATAGGTGGTAGATGACAATGTTGATCCAGAATGGACTTTGCTATGGTACTTGAGGAATAAGTGTATCCTTTCTTTATTTAAAAAATAAATATTTCGTATATGTTAAAAACAAAAAAAAAAATACATTATTTTAATTACATAAACAATTAATATTTATGTGTTGAAATATTGTAATTTTTTTTTCTTAATATTTAGCATTTATTAATATTTTGTCGATTTTTATTCAATATAATCTCGTCATGCATACACAAACATGAAAACAAGATACTTGCGTAATAATACAAACGATCGTAGGATTAGAATTCATTAAAAGTAAAAAACCTTGAATAAATTAGTCTCTACTTAAACATACATTACGTACATACATTACGTGATAAAGATTCTTTCTATTGCTCTTGTTTTGAAAATAATACTTTTAAATACTGAATAGTTAATGAAAAATAATTTATCGATTACAAAATCAAATCAACTTATTGTTAGACGTTTGTCGTATAAAAGAACGATATTAAAAATCAGTAAGAATTTACTCTAAAATAGTCGGAGAAAGATGAAAACTAATTAAAAATGAACTCAGAAATTTTAAAACACAAATGAGGGAAGATTCTTAACTCAAACAATTTAGTAAATTTAACCGGCACAAAACTGGGTTGTGCAGAAGGTGGTTGTGGAGCGTGTACTGTAATGATATCAAAATTAGATCGTTCAACAGGAATTATTACGTATCCTTTTCAATATCTTCGAAACCTTTTCCTTCAAAGTTAGATCATCGAAAGTAATAATGTACGTTGGTTGTATTGTATTCGATTAGAAGAAAAATAAGTTCTCCAAAATGAAAAAATTATTCTCATAATAAAAAATTATAATATGGTATGGTAAAAATGAAAATAATATTTTCCTTGATCGCCTAATTTATTAAACAGACATTTAGCGGTAAACGCATGTCTAACACCAGTTTGTGCTATGCATGGTTTAGCGGTAACCACTGTCGAAGGTATTGGAAATGTTAAAACGAAACTTCATCCGGTACAAGAGCGCATAGCAAAAGCACACGGATCACAATGCGGTTTTTGCACACCTGGAATCGTGATGTCCATGTACGCATTACTACGAAACACCCCTAAACCAAGCATGAAGGATCTTGAAATTGCCTTTCAAGGTACAATTATGATCACTTATGACATGCTTCTATGAACTTTGTGATTAAACTTGTAATTAAGATCCTTAATGAGTTACTCATGCCACGAGAAATACTAAATATATTTCATTTGTGACTTTTTCTATTCGAGAAGCTATTCGTAAAACGAATCGAAAGGAATATTTTTGCAATTTAATTAAAAATTTATTATATTACTTGTATTATATATATATATTAAAACTGTAGTTTTCTTTTTTTCCTTTTTTTAAATATTTCATTGTATGTTTTTCAATTATTTATAAAAGAATATTTGAGAAAATTTAAAGATGTTTTTGGGAATAGATAATTAACAGATTGAGTTATGCTTCGATCTAATTGTTTTATCTTGATAATAGTTAGGAAGCTGCTGATATTAATTCGTTTTTAGATAGTTTAGTATTTTTCTGTCGTGTACCATGTTTCTTGATTTTCTGTGTGTGTACCATCATTTGTTTTTGTCTGAATAGTCTATCTCATTTTGCTATCTGTCTTTCTATGAAATTAATTTTTCTTTAATGTTGTATACTATTGTTTTACAGAGTTAATAAGTTTATTAACTGCAGTACATTGAAAGAGATTCGAAGAATTCGTGCCTGAAGTCGAGAAATATTTCATAAAAGCAAAGATAAAATTGGCAAAGAATCGGAATTGCAAATGGCAAAATAAACCGAGTTAAATTTTATAAAATAGTATTGAGAGAGAAGAAATTAATGAAAAAGAACATGAAAAATAATTCTTGCAGACAACGTATTCTTTCGTTTAAATGGTACTCACTCAAATGAACAAGATTCTGAAGGAGAAAGATGCTATAGTGTCCCGAAAACTTTGGGATTAAAAATTATGTTAGAGATTAATAAAAAATGTCTTTTTAAATTATTTATTTAATGTTTATGTTAAATTAATGATCATTTCAGCTTCCTAAGTATTATTATTACATAATACATGAAATAAATTTAAGAGCACACTCAATTCACAAAAAGACTTTTTCCTTCAGAATTTTAGATGTTTCATATTTTAATTTTAATCTTTTTATTTTAGTTGGAATATCATGATTATTTAATCATTTTTAACTTACGATCTATTTGTAGGAAATTTATGCAGGTGTACTGGATATCGCCCTATTATAGAGGCTTATAAGACCTTCACGGAAGAATGGGAAATGATGCAAATGATGTCAAAAAGTAACGAAAGATTTTCAACAAATGGAGAATGCCCTATGGGAGAGAATTGTTGTAAAAAAATACCAATAGCAGAACCAACAGAAGTTTTTAATTCGAGAGAATTTTGTTCATACGATCCTTCTCAAGAAATTATATTTCCACCTAAGTTACATGTAAATTATTTATTTAACATTAATTTGATATTAATTGATTTGACCTTAAAATTTCGTTTTGATAAATTAAATAAATTTTTTTTTTAGATTTCTAAGCATCTAGATGAAGAATACTTAATAATAAAGGGAAAGAATGTCACATGGCATAGACCAAAGACTCTTAGTGAATTACTGCGATTAAAAGATCAATATCCAAATGCAAAAATTGTTGTAGGAAATACAGAGATAGGTAAAATTTACTTATTTAAAAAATCATTTGATGCAATAATTATAGAAATAAGTACTTATTATTCATACTTTCAGGGGTTGAAGTTAAATTTAAGTATCTATCTTATCCAGTTCTCATACAACCTACCTCAATCAAAGAAATGTGTGCTATTGAAGAATATCCAAAAGTACTGAATGTCGGTGCTAGTACCACACTTGTTGAGATGGAGAAAGCTTTACAAAATCAAATTGCCACAAAACCTGGTATATAGTCCGACATTTATTTCATATTTTGTATTATAAAATATAATTTAGTTTAATAAACTATATTTCATTATTATTACAGAATATCAAACAAGAATTTTTAATGAAATAGTAAATATGCTTCATTGGTTTGCTGGCAAACAAATCAGGAATGTTGCTGTAAGTTGTTTGATCTATATATTATGATTTAAATAATGTTTTATAAAGTTAAGAATGTTTTTTTTAATTTTTGTATAGGCTGTTGGTGGAAACATAATGACAGGAAGTCCGATATCAGATCTAAATCCAATTTTTATGGCAGCTGAAGTAAAACTAAATATTTCAAGTTTGAAGAACGGAGTCAGGCTTATTCCAATGGATCATACTTTTTTTAAGGGTTATCGACAAAATGTCGTTTCACCAGAAGAGATTTTAGTTTCAATTCAAATACCGTTTTCCAAAAAAGTATATAAAATTGAAGATAATAAAACATATTATTATTGAACAGTTTATAACATCATATTCTTCCAATTTTTTAGAATCAATACTTTATTGCCTACAAGCAAGCAAGAAGACGAGATGATGATATCGCTATTGTTAATATGGCATTAAATGTATTCTTTGAACCAAAAAGTAACGTCGTCAGTAAAGCATATTTGGCTTTTGGTGGAATGGCTCCAACGACGATTTTAGCTAGGAAAACTTGTGATATTATGATTCGAAGGTATTTTAGAAAATTATGCAATATTTATTTTTTAGCTGTACCATACAGGAAATATCAATGTAAAATTTTTGTAGGAAATGGGACACAGATCTTCTAGAAAATGTTTATGATTCATTACTGAATGAATTACCTTTACCAGATAGTGTCCCAGGTGGAATGGTCAAATATCGTAAATCTTTAACTTTAAGGTATAAATATAATTCTTTTTTATGTTTTTAAACCAGATATTTGAATATATTATTATTTTTTATTTACTTTTGCAGCCTATTTTTTAAAGGATTTTTACACATAGCTAAAAAGCTTCAAGTATGCTTGCCAAAAGAAATCGAAAGTGCTGCAGAAGGATTTCACACTAAAGAACCAAGGAGTTCCCAATATTATCAAATGGTATCCATTATTTAATTGATGCTGTTTGTTTTATAAATTTCTTTTGTAACTTAATATTTTATATATATTATGATAGGTTCCAAAAGATCGAGAACCAAACGATTTAGTTGGAAGACCAATTGTTCATGCCAGCGCATTTAAACAGGCAACAGGAGAAGCGATATACTGCGATGACATGCCGAAATTCTCTGATGAGTTTTATTTAGCTGTGGTTTTGTCTACTAGAGCTCATGCAAAAATTTTGAAAATCGATGCGACTAAAGCACTGTCATTAGAAGGAGTGGTTGCCTTTTATAGTGCTAAAGATTTACCTGAAGAGCAACAATTCTATGGTCCTATATTTCATGACGACCGAGTCTTCATGTCAGATATAGTAAGAATCCTTAATTTAAATCCTTTTTCTGATCCTTTATTTACAATCATAGAATAAATAAAAAGTAAACTTTTTTTACAAGGTGACAAGTCATGGTCAAATAATTGGAGCAATCGTAGCTATTAATCAAGCTATTGCACAAAAAGCAGCCAGAATGGTTCAAATCGAATACGAAGACTTACAACCAATAATCATTTCTATAGAGGTATGATAGAAACATATGTATAAAATGTGCAAACATTTTTAAAAATTATTCTTTAATAATTGTAGGACGCTATTAAACATCGTTCGTTTTTCGATCAAACACCAAAACATATTAAAAAAGGAGACATAGAAAAGGCATTTGCTGAATCGAAACATATTCTCGAAGGAGAAGCTAGAATAGGAGGACAAGAACATTTTTATCTTGAAACAAACGCAACCTTGGTGATTCCGAGAGAGGAAGACGAATTGGAAGTATATAGTTCGACTCAACATCCTTCAGAGATTCAGAAACTCATTTCGGAAGTTCTAAATATTCATGCTAACAAGATTGCGGTTAAAGTAAAAAGATTAGGTGGTGGTTTTGGTGGAAAGGAATCTCGTACTGCTATACTTGCTTTGCCAGTTGCTTTGGCTGCACACAAGTAATTATATATACACACAATAAAATAATAAACTATAAAATATAACAAATATAACAAAGAAGTTGTCTTTGTGCTGGATTAACAAAAGGTTTTGGTATATAACTTTTGCAGATTAAAGAAGCCAGTGCGCTGCATGTTTGATAGAGATGAAGATATTATGACAACTGGAACAAGACACCCGTTTTTATTAAAATATAAAGTTGGATTTGATGATAATGGCGCAATTAAAGGAATGCAAGTTTATATCTATAACAACGCCGGTTATTCTCGCGATCTTTCTTCCGCAGTATGTTAATTGTTTATTAATAGTATTAAGATATTTTATTTCTCAAATGTCGAACTGTTAAATTGTAAACATATATACATCTTTATCAGGTTCTAGAACGTGCAATGTTTCACTTTGAAAATTCTTATAAAATACCAGTGGTCGATGTGTATGGTTTTATGTGCAAAACTAATATACCGTCCAATACGGCGTTCCGCGGTTTTGGAGGTCCACAAGGAATGTTTGTGGCCGAAACAATGATAAGACATATTGCAGAATATTTAAATAAAGATCTTATTGAGGTATAATCATGATTTAATACTACATATAAAGGCATGAATTTCGTCATCGTTAAGTAAATAATCTTAACAGGTGCAAGAATTGAATTTATATAAAGAGGGTGATACCACTCATTATAATCAAAAGCTTATTAATTGTACATTACGTCATTGCTGGGAAGAATGTCTTTTATCTTCAAATTATAATGAACGGCTTGCACAAATTCAGAAGTATAACAAGTATGTTATATTCTTTCTGTTTTATTTTTACTTTATATTTTATTTCCTTTCGATCTTTTCTTTTTTTTGTATAATTTCCTTAAAAAATGTTACTAATCATCATAATCATATCTTGAAATTCCAATGCTTTAAGTATTGATTTAATAAATATTATTTCAATAGAGAAAATAGATACAAGAAAAAGGGATTGGCAATAGTCCCAACGAAATTTGGTATTTCTTTCACTGTACTGTTTTTGAATCAAGCAGGGGCACTTATTCATGTTTATACGGACGGTTCTGTATTAATTAGCCATGGCGGCATTGAAATGGGACAAGGTTTACATACAAAAATGATACAAGTAAACTTCATTCGTTTTTCTATTTTGATGTCGCTTAAATTAATATTCTTATTTCTTATATATTCTTCATTAATTCAACATTAGTTGATTTTTAGTTTCACTTTTGAATATTTTGTTAATTTTTTATAACATTACTTACATAACTTTTCTATTAATTGCAAGTAACATGTATCTATTATATGGTACTTATTTTCATATATTATAGTTTCTTCATTTTCTATTTAACATTTAGGTAGCAAGCAGATCATTAAAAATAAAACCAGATAAAATACACATAATGGAAACCGCTACTGATAAAGTACCAAATACATCTGCGACAGCAGCTAGCGCTGCTTCAGATTTGAATGGTATGGCTGTTATGGTATGTAAAATTAAAAATTTGATATTGTATAATCTATTTTATTTTCTATTAATTTACGACTAATAATGACTTTAAATGGAAAAAAAATTTCAGAATGCCTGTAATGAAATTATGAAACGATTAAAGCCAGTAATAGATAAGAAACCAGATGGAACATGGGAAGAATGGATAAAAATGGCTTATATAGAAAGAATCAGTCTTTCTGCTACCGGATTTTATAAAACTCCTGATATCGGATACTCATTTGAAACTAATACGGGAAATCCATTCAATTATTTCACATATGGAGTTGCATGTTCTGAAGTAGAAATTGACTGTCTAACTGGAGATCATCAAGTAAATATAATACGTATGAAGTTAGTTATAAATTTTGAAATTTATTTTAGTACTTAAACATCGATATTTACATATAGGTATTGCAAACTGATATTGTAATGGACCTAGGTGAAAGTTTAAATCCTGCAATTGACATAGGACAAATAGAAGGAGCTTTTGTTCAAGGATATGGTTTATTTACACTAGAAGAATTGGTATATTTAAGAAATGGAGCCCTTGCTACGAGAGGTCCAGGTGCATATAAGCTACCTGGTTTTACAGATATTCCCGAAACATTTAATGTATCATTATTAAAGGGGGCTTCAAATCCTCGAGCTGTTTATTCATCTAAGGTAATATATTCTTAAAAGAAACTTAAAAGAATTTGATTTATATTTATTTTTATCAATTGTTAATTTTTCTGTTATTGTCACTATTATTTTAGGCTGTAGGAGAACCACCGCTATTTCTAGCATCTTCTGTGTTCTTTGCAATAAGAGAAGCTATTAAATCTGCGCGTCAAGAATATGGTCTCAAAAGTTACTTCCAATTAGATTCACCTGCAACTGCTGCTCGTATTCGGCTAGCATGTGTTGATAAACTTACTGAGAAAGTAAATTATGTTTTTTGTATTTCATATAAACTCATTGATAGTATTGATAACAATTTATATTTATGTATGTTATATTACAGATTGCAGAACCAGATATACAACGTCAGTGGAATATTGTTGCATAGAAGTTTATATAACGAACCAGAGAATAAGTACTATAATTTTTTCATATATTAAAATTAACATATTTTAAATGTACAAGTAGTTATTTTTAAAAACTAGTCTTATTCACTTTAATAAAATTTTTTTTTTTAGACATTTTTTTTTTTAAATTTTGAAGTATTATTAAAAGCCTGAAAAATGTTCTAGTTGTGTAAAAATGTGATTGAAGTCTAATAAGCTTAATATTTGATATATCAAATATCTATTAATATTCTGTAATACAATCAATTTACAAAAATTATAATTCTGAACGTTCGTTGTTAGAATTTCAGATATATTTCATACTAATTAAATATGGCGGTTTTTTATCAATGAAACGAACTTGCGTAATTGGTAAAATATGCGATGTACAGAACGTGTTAATACTTGATTGTGATAGCATTCTTTTCCGATAATTATTTGTTAAGGATGTATATGAATAAATTAAATGATGTATATGTTAAATAAATTAAATTTATCATTAATTATAATTTGATAATCGACATTAGATTAACATTAGAAATATATAGTTTCACTTCTAACCAATATTACTGATCGAATTGAATGTGTAATAACTTTTTTAAACAATGCCCATTGTTTTAAATTGTAGACACATTTAATAAAACAAAAACAAATCTAAAAGCTATTGATTGTAGTCTTTACCTGATAATTTCTGGATGATGCTTCTTACTATGCTTTCCGCCAAAAATATGTTATACGAGTACATCTCAATCGATAGATCGATAACGTGAAAAATTATATCGATTGCTCTTTCTGACGTATACATATGTAGTAAAAGGATTTCGATTAGTTACTAGATTCACATTTCGGTATTGAAAGTTTGACAACACTGTAATGGGTTTCAAAAATCATATTCCTGGCGCATTCAGTACTTGACCAACTTCAATCGTTTACTTGTAATTCCCCAATTCACTGTTCTTTAAACGCAGAATGCGCTAAAAAGCCAGTGATTTTTTACTTTGTCGGTATTTCAGATTCCCAGCCATGAAACCCCGTAAGATGCAAGGTCTATTCATATACCTGGTCTATGACTGTGATAAAGTCGACGGTCGATACAGTAGAGAGCATATCGATACACATATACACGGCGCCAAGTACATATGAATCAAATTAAAGTTTGTATATTATAAAAATATATTATTATATATGAGATGTAACAATTTTAAATGATAAATAATATACTTATTTTTATGAGGGAGATAAAATCGTCTCTGATAAAGTATAATATAAAATATAAAAAATATTGAATATAATAAGTATTGAATGTGAAATATAAATAGAAAAAAAATGATGAAATAGAAATAAAGTTTTTTTCTGAACATCAATTAATATTAATTATCAACTATTTGTTTCAGACGAATAAAAATCAGCTCTTAAACAGTTTTCTTACTATTTCATACTTGGAGTTAACAGTGGAGTTAAGATGTTAACAAGATTACTATGTGAAGGAAGAATAGTTTATGCAGGGTTTCATTCAGTTCTAATATTAAATATATAAATATCCTTATTCAATAATCATTAGATTTTAATTTTAATTAGAACATTGAAATTAATAAATTCAATGTCTTTTTGTCTCTTGCTAATATTGTCTTCCATAATCTACCAATATCTTTTATCAGATGGAATATTGTCTAAATGTATGTCTGATTAAACTAATTAATGAATGTATCATATACTTGTATACATTGATAATGTAAATTTGACTTTTTACAGATTCCATGTTTATATTCCACCTGTTACACGATAAATGTTTATAGATAAAAAGCAGGTGATACTATATATTCATGTGATGACTATATATCATGTACAGAACAAGGGTTTGATTCTATTACGCGGTGATAGTATTTGATATGTAAAGAAGCTCAGAAATTACAGGTGCTCTTGATAACAAGTCGCTTGCAAGAAAAAGGTACACTTGAAGAACGCTTTCAATGTAGCATCATAGCAAAATATAAATTATAATTCATAAGGCATAATTCATTTGATAATCAAATAACATGAAAGAAATATCAACTATAAAAAGGCACGCAGTACTCCAATTTTTTAGCATTCCTTACTTGTATTGTTGTTAGCTAGCTACTTTCATATTAGTTTTACAATTAGTAAAGTTTTACATCTTAAATTTCATCTTTACATACATAGGTGTATTATGATTCTGTCGAAGAATTCTTTTAGAGTTGTCACTTCTGTTTCATTTGGGACACCTTAAAAAGATATCTATCGATTGAGAGATTTCATTTGGTGAAATTTATTTTAAATCAGCATCACGGACAAAAACAATCGACCCTGACGGAAACAGCATTCAATGTAAATATTGTATCTCGTGCAAAAGGACACAATTCTATTGGAATAACAATATTCATCCGAATAGCTCGCAGTACTGTGGGTAAGTGTGGTGGGGATGATGTTGTTAGGGAGATCGCTGCCCGTGGCCGATACCAGAGGTCTGTTCGCGTTCGCGTTCGCGTTCAGTCGGTGCGTGCTAGCGGCTCGTGTCGCGTGTTTTCAGTTCACTTCTTACCTCGTCGTCATCCTTGACACACGATCTGCCGCTTTGTTCATCTTCATGCGTGTTTTCGTCCACGGTTCTCTCTGTACAATCTTCGAATTTCCCGCTGAATTATCACGGTGCAACGTCGAGAAGTGTCAGAGGAGACTCTGCGGTTCCGGACAATCGTTATCGATCTTTGGAGCACCGATCGCGAATTCAGAGGTAGGTTGGTTTCCATAGCAGGTGCCACGCTAGTCGAGAAACACGTGGACCAGCCGATTACACCGACTCTTTCTGTAATACATCGTATATATACCTTGTACAGATTCTGTTATGAAAGATTGACGCGATGGATTAATTAACCGCAAAGTATGAATATTTATGTACCTACATAGGTACCTATGTAAGTAAATTTAAATCTAGAGATGGAAATATGGGAAATATCTACAATAATCGATAATAACCTCTAATATCTATCTACAATATTATTACAACATTTATAGCAGTTATAATCATTTATTAACAGAAAGGATTTATTTTTCTTCAGTTATGTTTATGAGAATAGGAAATTGCTTAAATAGTTCACTTACTGGTTAAGAAGTTCCGATGATTTTTCTTTAAAAAATTGAAGAATATGAGAACTCATCTTTACGACAGAGTTCGTCGCGCGAATTTTGAAGGGAGATGCTCCAATTGGTCGGCGGTAGCGTGACAATCGCGATATTACAATCGAACAACTTTGACCATTCGATTATCGAAATATTCTTACAAAATCGTACAGTCGCGATCTAACGGCCATGTCTACCGCTAGAAAGTATAACGTGTCGCGTGGAAATTTGTTCGTTGAGAGTATCTTCGGTAATGAGCGAGGTTCGAGTGATGGAATTCTTAAATATTCGCGGTATCGGTTCGAAAAAATGGATGGAAAATGTCGATAAACGAAGATTGAAAAGTAAAAACGTTTTATACGATGTAATTGCATGTCTTCGCTGCATGGTAGAAGGTAAGTGAAGGATTGTTGTATTACTTCAGACGAGTCGAACGACCCGAATTAAGTATGCAATCGTGTTAACGATTTTTAAGAATGATTGTTGCATCCGCGCGAAAAAGAAAAAGGTTAGATTCGCTATTTTGTTATCGTGACGCGACCTTATGTAATATTTATATTTTTTTTTATTTTTAGTACACGATATTAGCCTCAAACGATCATAAATTTCCTTCGTTTCATTGATACTGACAATCAAAACAACGGCACAACTTTTGGCGCGCCAATATTTGAATTTCTTTAAAGACGCCATTTTTCCTCAATATAGATTGTGCGTAATAATTGTAATATTTTAATTGTTAAAATATGATTACAGTTAATTTTAACTGTAATTACACATAATTTCAATTAAACGTATTGCAATTTATTACTTGATATTTATGTAATTGAGAATGATAATGATTTTAGAATTTTTTTCAAAAACTTAAAATTAAGATTATTTTTAGTAAATTAAGAAATGTACAAGTATATTGATTCTAAGTTACTTTTGTAAAAAAAAGTCATGTTTCTGTAATGAGAATCGTAAATTTGATTCCGTTTTCCGAAATTAAACAATTTTATGTTTTCTAAACTATGATTCACTGGTCACTATCTTTATATCAGTCAGTGTTTTAAAACGGCACTTTTAATATATGAAAATTATGAAATTATTCTCTTATTTTGTTACGAATTTCTCTCCACGCTGTTTCTCAACACAGCGTGAATAGTACTACAAAATTGGCTTAGTCAATGTTTACGCAGCTCCATTCATCATAGAAATTCACAAGAAGTCCTTGTATAGTATTTAGGACACAATAGAATACATTTTGAAAGCGATACATTATTCCGCGTTTCATTCAACATTCTGTAACATGAACCCAGGTCACTTGATTACTATTCACTTCCTTCAACAAACGTTTACTCAATTAATATTCAATATTTAATATTTAACATTCAATATTTAATTTTTAACTTTCAACTGGTATTATCGAATAATAGGTGACCAATAATTACAATTGGACTTAAGCTTTTTTAAATATCTATTTTATTAAAATAATGTTTCGTGTATTTAATTTTATCTTAAGCAAAAATCTATTGCTATTTATTATTAATCTATAAATTGAAATTATGTAATTTAATTGAAGCTATTGAATCACTCAAACAGCAGTTAATGCTTACTGTCCAATATTTAATGTTTAATTTATTCGTTACCCTATTCATTAAATCTAATAAAGTATTAAAAATTCAATTTCATTGAAGATATTCGCTTTATCTACCACTAGTTTCACGTTTGCTAGTTTGCCAGTTCGTTACTATTTAAATCTTGTAAATTGGATGATATTTTTATCGTCGAATCGTGTCTACAAGATGTAAAGACCAAGGTTACTCGCGAATTGATCGATCTTATTTTCTCTTTTTTTATTTAGACGTTCGCGGAATTCTGAAAAAGTAACGGAGACAGGATGGTTCGGTTAAGATTGTTTCCGTTCGCGTTATTTTCGTGCATGCGATGTCCCTGTAAACTCTCATTTTCTTGCGTATGCTTTTTTCTAAATTTTGCCAACGAGTTCGTCTGCGAACGTTAAAAGAAAGGTCAATGATGATATACGAAACACGAACATCGGATTTAGCCATTTATCGCTATATTTTGAATCGTGAAACTCTAATTTTTTTCATTATTTTATTATTCATCATTCGTAATTTTCAATTGCGTGCTTGCAGTTCTAAGCAATATTGATGTTGTATTAAAATATAGCTGTTTAGCCTTTGTTTCATTTAGTCTTTTTATTTAATATGTGAATTATTCTCAATTCCTTGAGATACTGAAACTTTTATAATTTCTTTTACTACGAATATAATTAGTTGTGAAGAGAATTCATAATTAAACTAATAAATTTAGCCAATTTTTCTCGGAATCAACTTCTTATCTATTCAAAGAGAGAAACAACTCAGTTTCTAGTAATTAATTGCATGTACTATTTTTATGTCATTCTTTTGAAATAAAAGCGTAAGATTATTTTGGACTGAATGATTTTAACAGCATACGGAGTAACGTTATCTTCGAATTATTTATGGGAATCCAAATAAATTACTAGTAAAATAGCTTAGAATAGATAAGATTATTTGGCGCTAATGCTAACTGTTCATCGTGTATCACAGTTTGTACGAACTTTATGAAAAGGTTACGCGAAACAGAGTGATATAACACTTCTCCTCGTGCCATAATCATTGCATCAAAATCATATAAATTCCCGATGTTCAAAAAATGTTGATTTATCTTTTGACTAAAATTAATTGCATTTGTTTTAATCTTATTTGTATTCTCGGTTAAGCAGGAAAAGAATACTTTTTTATTCCGCGTAACGTCTTTTACTTTTATAACGATTTTTATTAATTTTTCATCTGATGTTATTTCAAATATCACAGAAGAATATGAATATGAATACATACAGATGCGAAAGATTTTCTGGTTTCTCCTTTTTAGTAAGCTCGTTAATTCAAATAATTCCGTATGTTTCTTCTGAATTTGAATACCGCTCGGCTAACATCACGTTGTCAAAAATTTATTTGACTCGATCAAATAGAAGAAGTCAATTTGAAGTTCAGAATATTACGTCAATAATATATTTGCTTTTCGTTATTTTTAAACATATTTTATTCATTTTAAAACTTAATTAATTAAAGCGCAGTAATTGAATAGATAAATAATTTAATTTAAAAACGACAAGTTTATATTTAGTTTAATTCACATTTTCCTTCTTAATTGAAATTAACATTCCGAGTAATTTTCTACAGAGTATTCTTTTGTATAATAGGATCTCGGCACATAGGAGTTTTATTTCACGATGGGCACAGCGTCTTCAGTTAATTTTTTATACTGTATTAGGAAAAATTGTTTCCAGAATTCGAAAGCCAATTATTTATAAAGAAAACAGACATCACAGCTGATTTAGTCGTTTCGCGAACAGGTTCGTTTCGCAAAAATCACTGTTCCTCTTTCTCTTTTCTCGTCTTCGTCGTTTCTTTTTCGTTTCGGCGACACCGCTTGTAAATTAGTTGCATTCTCATGCATTAACGCTGAAGGCCATAAATAGAGGTTAAACGAGCTTCGCGGCTTCTTATAATTGAGCGCCGAACTTTATTAAAAATCGATAATAACAGGCGGAAGTTGGCCGCCACGTTTTCGAAAGAGAAATCACATGTCATTTTGTCACATTCCAATTTCTTTATCTTTTTTTTTTTCTTTTCTTGCATTCGACAAACAAGTTGTCAATGAGTAATTCTCCCGTTTCTCTGAAAATAGTTTCGATCGGTTCTTACAGACGTTTGGACATTACGGGCATTAATTGTATTCTCTTTAAACTAAAAAAAATTCTAAAAATTATTTCTTTGATTGGCGACATTAGGAGTATAGGGTTCTTAAATAATTTGGTATAATTTTCTTTCAAATAAATAATTTTTTCTAAAATGTTAAACATATCAAACGGAGGAATTTGAGAGAATAAAAATTATTATTCTTCAATTCTGAGCAACATTTTATGTCTGTACGTATAACTGTACTTCTAAAAGATTTATAAAGAAAATTATATATTCAATGATTCAGTGCTATAAGTGGAATAATTCAGTTTTTATTATCCCATTAATTTGGAAGAATATTCGTCACCAAATTCAGAACTGTTTTGTAAGAATACATATGTTAGAATTTCTCTAATTTTTTTAATACACATACAGTTCCAACAATTAAGAGAAACTTCTGAAACTTTTTAAACGAGGCGAATTATCAATTAGACATTGAAATCGACAAATACCATAAATGAAACAAATTCGATTCGAAGGGTAATGATTTACGACAGAAGCTTCCGCTAAAAGATCACAATTTTTTTGCAAGCGGTGATATTTATGAATATCGATAAATTACACGCGTGCAACTCAATTTTCCAGCAATTTGTTCCACGTCGAATGCATCGCTCGACGTGTTCCCATGCTTCGAAAATTTTTTTTCTAAAACGAAGGATAACAAGTCTTTAACGTTTCCTTGTAAGATCGATCGATAAAACATTATCTGCAATGATTATCTTTCGAGCGGTTGGTTGCGTGAGTATCCTTAAAATAAAAATACGTAAAAATATAGAAAGCGTTTGAGAATTTTACTAAATAAATTGAAAACAAGCGTGATTGTTTTTTGAAAAATCAGCTT